ATTTTTGTTGTAAATGCCTGGGCTGAATTTCAACCATGAAGACAAAGTGGAAACATTTACCCAAAGTTTTAATAACAAGAAAGTATCTATAATAGGTACTCAGCGAAGGACAGTCAAAAACATATCGGGGCTTAATTTATTCGACTGCTTTTATGAATCAAAGGTTTTACATTTTATATGATTAAACATTATGATTATGAGATTGAGATTAATAAAAAATGTGATTATCTCTTTATTTTATTACTAACATATTAAACCCTATTTTTCTGTCCGTACGAGCCACACGTGTCCTAGTATTTTCCGTCTCGTAATTCAATTCTAGTAATAATTGCATTTGCTGGCGTTCAGATGAAATTACGTGACGTCATTTCATTCTCAGCCGACTTCAGAAGGTTTTTGTATAGAAGGATATCAGTAGATATCATTAATTTTCGATTAAATTTTCCATCATAATATCATAAGTGTATATTGTGAACATTGTCTATAATAAACTATTTCAATATGAATAAATAATAATCAAATACATATTTCAACACCTCAAAATGTGCAATATGGAGAAAAACCCATAAGATTTACCGGTATTATATTTTGAAAACGTGCTCATAGACACGCTGTAATTTTTAAATAAAGACTGTTGTGTTTTAGGGTATCAGATTATGCTAAGATTTGATTGTTTACTCATATTATGTATGAAGCATTTAAAAAATAAACAACGCACTTTATCTTGCATAAAACGCTGTGGTACCTGTAAAATAATATAGATGTAAGTAATGCAAAAAATTTAATACTTTGGAAGAAATACATTTTCAAAGTTATCGAAAAATCACGTTATAATTATTAACCATAAATATTAAGTACATAAAAACTTCATAAAAACTATGTGCTTTATATATACTTCTGGACACATCTATTGGCCCACCTTGCATTTTCAGTTTCTTTTGGTCCTACCTAAAAATTTATATTAGGTCGAGTAAAAAGTTTTATGCAGTTTTGAACCTGATACATTTTACCATCTTTTTCGATCGTATTGTTTTAAATTTGAATTTAGAATACCACACCACATGAAGATTGAAGATACGCCTAACAAGTCGGGTATGCGCCTTGATGAAGTCATTGATTTTTGAATAAAAAACGTGTTTTATCAAAAAAAGGTTTAATTTAATGACGCGTGTTGCCTCCATGGGCATCTACGACAGCTCTCATACGATTAGGCATAGGGCTTATCAACCGCTCTATGAAATTTTGAGGTATCATCTCCCATTCCTCTTCTATGGCAGTTTTCAATTCCTGCATCGTATGGGCAACTGGCTGACGAGTCAGGCCCTAACACGTCTTTTTAGCTCATCCCACATGTGCTCAATGGGGTTCATATCTGGGCTTCTGGCTGGCCAGTGCATAACTGCGATGTTCACATCCCGAAGATATTCTCTGACGATGCCGGCCGTATGGGCTCTTGCATTATCATGCATAAAAAGAAAATTTGGGCCCACATAGTCCGCGTATGGCATCACGTGAGGTTCTAAGCACTCAAGAATGTACCTTTCAGCATTTAATGTTGGCAGCCGTGGTCCCGTAACAACCTCAAGTTGAGTTTTGCCGCTCGCGGATATATCGCCCCAGACAGTCATACATAAGCAACCCTCTCTTCAAAGCAGCATTGTGCAAAACGCTCTCCCTTACGTCGGTAGACCTTCTTCCTTGCATCATTGCCATGAAACGCAATTTTAGACTCATCAGAAAAGAGTACACCGTTCCAATGCTGCTGAGTCCAATTTAAGTGTGAACGCGCGAAATGAAGGCGCGCTATTCGATGGGCTCGCGTTAGTTTTGGGCCATTAGCTGGCTTGTGTGGTACCATATCGCGTTCTTTTAATCTTCTCCGAACAGTTCGAGCGCTCACATTTACTCCATGGAAGTCGCGAAGTTGGTTTTGTATCTCAATGGAGGTAAGGTGACGATTTCTCAAGCTGGTCGTCACGATGAATCGATCCTGCCTTTCAGTTGTGACCCGAAATCGTGGCCTTCCTTGGCGACGAACAAAACCGCCAGTCTCTAGGTATCTCCGATAAACGTTTCGGACCGCAGATCGACTTAAATTAAGTTGATCACTCACATTTCTTTGGCTGTGTCCGGCCCGGATAAGTGCCACAGCTTGGGCGGCGACTTCAGGCGAAGTATCCATAGATTATTGATAGAACCTCATCTTAATGTTAAGAATAAGTAATGTTTGTTGCAAAACCAAAGAGAAAAATCACACTTTCAAGAATTAAATCCGACTAAACCAATAAAATCAAGTTTTCTTAGTATTCGATTGTTTGATATCAATGAGCAGGCTCCAAATTGTGTTTTGTTTCTTTGAATTCTGTGTTCGAAATAAAAAAAAAACTGAATGCAATTATGAATGTACCAGGTTCAAAACTGCATAAAAATTTTTTACTCGACCTAATATAAATTTTTAGGTAGGACCATAAGAATCTGAAAATGCAAGGTGGGCCAATAGATGTGTCCAGAAGTGTATTTTTACCTAAAGCATACATGATAGAGGAGGCACGCAGAACTACGCGACATTTTATTCAACCAAACACATCTAACACAAGTAAAAAAAAGCGAAAAATAAATAAACAAAATTAATTGAATAATTATTATTTAGTTTAGAAAATTGTAAAAACAAATTATGCGTATTTAAGTAAATATTAGCTCAGTATAAGCAGGCTTATCATCAAAATATTATTAGGCATACTAATTATATAGTCTTACGTAATAATATATTTCAAAAGCTACACTTTTGCCTAAAAATTGTCTATGGATTCTAACATGAATGGATATCAAATGTCATTTTTCAAATATAACACATAGCAGATAGATGACTATTTACTGATGACTAATGACAGCAGAATTCAGACGACTGCCGCCAAGTGCCAATATTGTTTTTGTGTTAGTTCAACAAAATCAAAAATTATAATATATTATAATATTAATTTAATAAGTCTTAAGAATGCTCAGTAACAATTTATGTTGTCATTCAATCTTTATTATCTCATGTATCCCAAGTAAATGATTATATTCAAGCGACACTACGATGTAATTTTATAAGTATGTTATGTCAGAGGACACAGGTTCACAGCCTTATTCAAAGTATACATTCACTGACCTTAGTAAGTTTACATTTTTATCAGCCAGTTATCAAGTCTGTTTTGTATTAAGTACACACAATGTCTGCTCGTCAAAATCTTTGTTTGAGTATCGGTCTTTTTCTTTGTTTCACATTGTGTCTCTTTATGGTTTTAATAATATTGGACCGCCCAGTGAATCAATACCAGTTAGAAAAGGTAATAATTTTAAGTAGACATAACTTAAGAACACCTTTGTCTAAGGACCTTGATAAAATTACTCCTCTTAGTTGGCCCAAATGGAAGGAAGAACCTGGATATTTGACAGAAAAAGGTTTTGTCTTGGAAGGTTATATGGGTTCATTTTTTAAATATTGGCTGAATAGCAATGACCTTTTGCTGAATGGTTGCCCGAAAAAAGATGAATTTTATATCTACAGTAATAATATGCAGAGAACTCTTATGTCTTCTAAAGCCTTTATAACAAAAGCTTTTCCCGGTTGTGAGATAACAATACACCAGAGTGCAAAAAAATATGACCCGGTATTTAGTCCCTTTATACATAATAACACAGATAATTTTAGAAAAATAGCAATAGAAGAAATGGATTCTGTATTAGAATCTTTAAATTTAAAATCGGCATATAATTTTATGGAAAATATTCTTGATTATCAAACATCTGAACTATGTAAAATTGATAAAAAATGTGATATGATCACAGAGAAAAACTTGATTAATATTACAGTAGGAAATAAACCATCTTTAAAGGGCCCAATAAAGTTGTGTAACATGGCAATAGATGCATTTTTCATGGAGTATTATAGTGGCCTGCCAATACATGATATTGCTTGGGGTAAATTAAGTGATATGACAGATTGGAATCAAATCTTACCCCTGACCTATGGTTATCACAACGTCACTTTTAATACCACTCATGTTGCCAAAGATATTGCCAAACCACTGTTGAAATACCTCTCTAATTTATTCATTCAAAATTACCCAACAGTCACACTCTTAATGGGACATGATGCAAATATAAATGTACTCTTAAATGCAATGGAATTTAAGCCGTTTATGTTGAAAAATGAATTTGTGCCTACCCCTATTGGTGGTAAAATTGTTTTTCAAAAGTGGCAAGACTTGAATAATAAAAAGTTTTTACTCAAAATTGAATATGTATACCAATCCATGGAACAAATTAGAAAAGGTATAGTTTTATCAAAAAATAATCCACCCATGTTTCAATTATTAGAATTGAAAAACTGCAAGGCAGATGATGACGGATTTTGTGATTGGGATGAATTTTTGAATTTTTTGCATAGTATTGTTTTGTTGTAATTTATCTAGTCAAATTTTATACACTATGTACCTATATTAAGAATAAAATGATTATATTATATGTTATTGGATTTTACCATTTGTTTTTTTAACACTTCCCTTATTTTAGTTTTCATTTTAGTTGCAAAAGTCAAAATTAAGTTGTAGCATTATTTATAAGTATTCACTTGAAATATAGACAGTTATTCAGCTTTCAGAATATATTTATTAGATTTTAATAATTTGCATCTAGTTTATAGTTATATATATTCTATGTGTGAGTTTGTAATTACTCCTAAACAGTTATATTGATTTTGATATATTTTTTGTGTGCGCCAGAGAATTTGAGAATGGTTTAGATTTAAAATTAGATTTTTGTTTCTTTTAGACGAGTGTGCGTCCTGCGTGATGCGTCGCGTCTGCTAGTAATCTATAAAATTATACAGATTATACCATAAATAGATTGACAGAAGAATGTCAAAATTCCTGTTGCATTTTAAGTAATTTCGTCGAAATGATCTAAATTCTAGTGTTGAATCAAAATTTTCGTATTATAAAGGAAATTTAAAAGTCATGTCTTTAAAGTGCCCCTCGACTTTACCTATAGTGCTTGATGCTCATAAAAAATGGCTAAAAACTCTTCATGATGCTCAGACGCTGATCGAAAATGATATGGACTTACAGGTAGTAACCTTCTTGTTTATTTATTCACTCAGGCAAAAACCAAGAATACCAAATCTCCATGATATAATAAACAATATATAACTCGTTATATATTTTAAGTCAAAGCAGAGACCTTCTACACCGGCATTTTTAAAAGAATTAAAATTAACCCGCCCTAGTAAGTAATTTTCAACCGTTTCATGCTTGAGTCTGTTATAGACAGGAAAATCTATCTATCTTTGTAAAATATAATTGTTTAGGAGAAAGCTGCACAGGGCCTTTGGCTGAAGGAGCGTCGAGTGCCACCAGAAGTCTTAGGAACTATGTATTCTGAATACTGCAGTCTAATAAACCGAATGTATGACGCATATCTTAATAGCACACATCTACAGAGAGCGCCCTACATAAAACCTTTGATAAGTGTTTTTATGAAACGGTAAGTACTAATTTGTCTAACACCACGTGAAAATAGAGTTAGATTACATTATTTTACCATATAGATTACATTTAGTATCAATTAGAGTATTTTTTTTTATTTCTTCTACCAGGCTAGCGCACTTTAACATGTTGTCATTGAACAATCGTAGGAAATTAATTGATGTATCTTTTGTATAAATTAAGCTATTTAAAAATTTCGTGTACCCTCTAGATACCCCAGGCATCCCATCATTCCATTTGTCTCTCCTTTCCGAAGAACACGTTTTGGTCAAAGCTCACCGATCTAAACAAGAGAAACTGGATATCCATAGTTGGTCCCCTGACACTTTAAATCGATTTTCGTTTAGTTTTTGTAATTTTAATTTTTTTGTTTAAAGTTTGTGTTATTTCTTCGCGTATGACATGTTTGTCACATTTAAAATTGTATATTGTGTTTAACAATGTATCATTGTGCCGAGCGTTGGCAAGCTTTTATCAATAAAAAATAAAATTTCTTCACCGCGAGAATTATACAACGTCTTAATCAAAATATAAAAAAATGTCGTTTAACACCTTCTAAAGACTACGTCAAAAGACCCTGTTGGTTTGCTCCTTATAAAAAATAATAATCTCAAACAATTCAAATTTATAGCATTAGGGATTACTAAAACTTCTTTAACGAATATTAATTTAGTTAATTTAATATTTACACAACTCGACGCTTCAAGAGATTTTCAGCATTCGTGGTCATGTTATGCATTGTATTATAAAATGTTTAAAATGCATATTGGTCTACGTTTCAGTATGTACGAGCTACGGAATGAATTGGTACATCTAATAGTGAATGATTATATTTACGTTGATGATGGCTTAATACAGACCAGAAGAACTCCATTCGATATTCAGGTATATTACCGTACCAATATACAAATATGTACAACTTTTCTTTTAGCATGCGTATTTCTTTAGATATCATGGAATGGTGTTAATGAAGATAAAAATAGTAAAATAGTTTTTCCTGTCTGAGAGTATTATTATCATTGTCAGTTAAATCTGGGTAGGTATGATTAATAATTGTAATATAATATAATGGAAAATAATAAAAACGTGTTATATTATATTCAATTTCAATTTTTCAGTTATATATAAGTTTATTTAAATATAGTAAATTGAAAAAACGCACGTTAATTAAAAAACAAAGACAATATAGGTGCCACATGTTTACATTACAGATTATGGAAAATCTAAGAATCCCTTGACATGCTCTGTACCTATATCCTTTTTCTTTTGCTTTTTCGCGCGTTGATTAATTAAAAAAAATAACTAAAAAAATGTCGTGCAATATTATAAAGTAAAATACCTACATGCAATTAGTATGTATTACCTATTATTTAAGATACGGTGTTATTCAAAAGAGACTTAGAAATTATTACACGTATATTTTTCAGATAATTATACCATACCACTTACCTTTGGAATGCAGAGAAGACTCTATGGAACACCTCTTGCAAAAGATGTGGGCTGATTCTATTGCCAGGAAAAATGCTCCACCACCTAAGGTATAGCCCGCGACTTTACGATATTATTATTTAATCAAGTACGATTTATAAAATAAGTGGGAAATGTCTGGGAGTTTGTACTTAGTTTGTTCTTGAAGGTGAAGAATAAACGCTACTTATTCAGAGCTAGCTAGAAAAAAAGCCCCTTGTAAAGCGAATAAGTATTAGGCGACCCGCGACTAGAAAAAACTAATAAGTGGAAGTGTAATATTTTTTGTAAACTTTATGTTTTCCGTAATTGTCATGTATTTTAGAATCCCCCCCCCCCCCCCCCCCCCCCCCCCCCCCCCCCCCCCCCCCCCCCCCCCCCCCCCCCCCCCCCCCCCCCCCCCCCCCCCCCCCCCCCCCCCCCCCCCCCCCCCCCCCCCCCCCCCCCCCCCCCCCCCCCCCCCCCCCCCCCCCCCCCCCCCCCCCCCCCCCCCCCCCCCCCCCCCCCCCCCCCCCCCCCCCCCCCCCCCCCCCCCCCCCCCCCCCCCCCCCCCCCCCCCCCCCCCCCCCCCCCCCCCCCCCCCCCCCCCCCCCCCCCCCCCCCCCCCTTCCTCCCCCCCCCCCCCCCCCCCCCCCCCCCCCTTTTTCCCCCCCCCCCCCCCCCCCCCCCCCCCCCCCCCCCCCCCCCCCCCCCCCCCCCCCCCCCCCCCCCCCCCCCCCCCCCCCCCCCCCCCCCCCCCCCCCCCCCCCCCCCCCCCCCCCCCCCCCCCCCCCCCCCCCCCCCCCCCCCCCCCCCCCCCCCCCCCCCCCCCCCCCCCCCCCCCCCCCCCCCCCCCCCCCCCCCCCCCCCCCCCCCCCCCCCCCCCCCCCCCCCCCCCCCCCCCCCCCCCCCCCCCCCCCCCCCCCCCCCCCCCCCCCCCCCCCCCCCCCCCCCCCCCCCCCCCCCCCCCCCCCCCCCCCCCCCCCCCCCCCCCCCCCCCCCCCCCCCCCCCCCCCCCCCCCCCCCCCCCCCCCCCCCCCCCCCCCCCCCCCCCCCCCCCCCCCCCCCCCCCCCCCCCCCCCCCCCCCCCCCCCCCCCCCCCCCCCCCCCCCCCCCCCCCCCCCCCCCCCCCCCCCCCCCCCCCCCCCCCCCCCCCCCCCCCCCCCCCCCCCCCCCCCCCCCCCCCCCCCCCCCCCCCCCCCCCCCCCCCCCCCCCCCCCCCCCCCCCCCCCCCCCCCCCCCCCCCCCCCCCCCCCCCCCCCCCCCCCCCCCCCCCCCCCCCCCCCCCCCCCCCCCCCCCCCCCCCCCCCCCCCCCCCCCCCCCCCCCCCCCCCCCCCCCCCCCCCCCCCCCCCCCCCCCCCCCCCCCCCCCCCCCCCCCAGATGGATACAAATACCGTAGAAAATGCATATTGCATATATATATGATATGCTATAATTAATAAACTTACTCAAAAATGTTTTGGATTCTGCGCGAAGTCTCGACTACGATTCTTGCTAAAGATACGACGTTTTGAAAAAAAAAACAATACAGCTTCAATTGTTTTTTAGAAAGTCCAATCGCAAAATGTATTTGATGATGACATCGGTTTTCCGGCGCCTGTACATCAATTTGTATCGGTGGAACAATTCGTTAAAGGTATGGTCAAACTTCTGGTCAATCTTCAGGATGACACGTTTGTATGTTTTAAAATTTGCAGGACAATGGCTAGATCCACTTTATGGCGTTGAGTTCGTTCTCGGTCTGGTAAAACATTCTTGGTATAGAATTTCGATTCGAACGAAACCTAACTGGTATAGATAGTATTTGCACACGTGATTTTTCATTATATTATATGAAACTGGGATCGGACCAAGAACGAACCGTAATCGACCTTACAGTGTGGATCCAGCCTATCATTGATATTTCAGAGGTCAGCGAACACACGATATATTCAGAGGAATATCTACAGGCTATTGTAATACAACGCCAAGAAAGATTTCGGTTAGTAATTTATTCATTTATATTATCGGTAAGGAAATAATAGAAGTCCAAATTATCGCTAATACGAAAGTCTTCACTCGCGTAGATGCCGATCTCGTGGTAGTGGAAAGTCTACTAAAGGAGCGTTCAAATAGTATGTAACGAATTTTCCCTATTGTAAAACGATGCGGGGCGTTAATATTATTTTCGACTTTCCAGTACTTTACACCACATAATGGTAACATAGGTATAAAGAGAGTCACGAAACGTTTTACTATTTGGTACAGAAAAACGTTACAGCGCGTGACAAGCCCTCCCCCTTCTCCATGTAACGCGTCAAGAATCTTCAAGAATCTCCAAAAATTGCGGTACGTAATACTTGAACGCTCCCTAACTTGGACTTTAGATATATTTTTGTTATCATAAAAGTTTTATTTTACTTCGTTTTTAATTACTTCCTTTCAGATTATTAGATAAACACTTACATTCATAATCTAATATTAACATTTTACTTTACAACGAATATATATATATTTTACATTTTTTAAATTCGTAACATCATTTACGTAGAATGTTTGACATTAGTAAATTTAAAAATATTTTACTAATAAAAATTCTTGATTAGGTAGGTAATGAAAGATTTTTTTAAGAAAAAAAATGGAATATAGGCTATGCCAGGCAGTGACGATGCAGATAAAAGAATTTTTGAAATCGGTCCAGTAGATTTTGTGTGAAATACAAACATACATACAAAAACCAAATGTTTCCTCTTAGTAATATAGGTATAGATTGGTATTTCTGACATCTTAGAATCAAAATTCTTCGGCTAGATTAAAGGAATAAAATATTTAGAAAGCTAATCCGTAATTATTACAAAAACTGTTTTTTTTACGAAAAACTGTCAATTGCAGTTCCTAGAAAGAGTTTGTGGCATTTACCGTTGGTACTTTGTAAGCACAATTAATTAATTTATTTACAGGATATATACTACATATATTATGCAGCCTGGTTTAACATTTTAACCGACTTCAATAAAAAGACGTGTACTTTTTGTTTTTAGTCATAAACATAATATGACATATCAGCATAGCTCTTGCCCGTAGACAGATGAATGATAGACCTAATGTGCGAACGAATGATGAGATCTAAGATTAAACGAATTTGCCGCTAATGGGTTCCTTAGAAGGGTTTTCTAATCAGATTAACTAAAATATCACATTGGCTACCAAAATTTAGGGTTATAGGATCATCTTACCCGATAAATAAATTGATAAATTATTATTTCAACAAAAGAAATTTACTAATACTTTTTAGTGCATTATGGATTAGTCATTAGACAAAAGAGTTTATACATGATTTCAGACAATACTTCAACGAGGACTTTAAAGCAAAGTGCAGAAGGAAGAGAATGTATTTCGCCGATAATGTAAGAGAGGCACCTTTATATTTAAGAAGACAAGCAGCTATGTTGATTCAGAAGGTTTACAGGTGCATACTGAACTAAGGAAACTTAGGATTAGATCTGGGTCTACTCTGTAATTTCCAATAAATCTTGATTTTTGTAGTTCTCTCAATATCCGTAGTGATGATGTCGCCACCTTCTTCCGAATAACTAATTATTGCGCTCGACAGTGCTTGCTGTCGGTATCGTTGTTGGAAATTACAGGGTAAGGCCGTTTCTCCACTGCTCCGGTCCGGCAAACGTTAATTACCGATCCGATTTAGAAACTCACAACAGTACTTACGTGCTTCTCCACTACTCCGGCATCCGGTTTTTAACGATCCGATAACTTGCTAGATCGGAACGCGGTGTTTTATCGGTCCAAGTATATCCAAAAGGTATAATTATTATTCACAGGTTTATTTATAGTTTCTTTAATTTGATAGAAACTGGATAACCTGGACCAAACCAAATTATGTTGCTATTTATTATTTATTATAATATTTCAAGATAGACAATATAAAAAAAAGTAATAAACTTGCGAGGGCAATAAAATATTCAGAATTTAGAACGTTTTATTAATAAAACAAAATATATGGGTTTTTGTAATTTTTGTAATACGGGTGTTGCATGATAAATATACAAGTATCGATTATTGTCGGATCGGATATAGTGGAGAAGCGCAATCCGGCCTTCCGATATTTTTCTCATGACTCATTCCGGTATCCGACGTCGGACCGGAGCAGTGGAGAAAGGGCCTTAGGGTTCCGGAGTTGCGACTTAGCATAAATGTGACGTGCGTCAAAAACGTAAAAGCCTGTCAAACTTCATTATATCTATACGACTAAGGGTCCTTTAAGAACAGAGCGTACCAATTCGTAAAAGGCCGGCAACGCACTCGCGAGCCCTCTGGCATTGAGTCCATGGGCGGCGGGATCACTTAACATTAGGTGAGCCTTCTGCCCGGATTCTAATAAAAAAAATATTTATAAAATTCGGCTTTGTACTGTTATAATAAATCAAATCAAAATCATTCATATAGGTAACACAATGTACACTTATGAACGTCAAAAAAAGAAATATATATTAAATGCTTCTAATTTTACATTTACTGCCAATTACCGTTCAAATCAGGGGCGTAGAACGAAAGAGAAGAACTGGCAATAAACTCTCCGCCACTGAATAGGTTGAGGGTAGGAAAAAAGCGTCAGACACGGACGGTGATTGCCAATTGTAATAAATCTTTCATCTTTTTTTTGCGTTCAAGCTGCGATGAAGAAATCTTCATGAATACATATTCTAATCAGCTCTTAGCAGTAGGTTTAGCAGTTCTTGTTTTAGGAGATATATGCAAGTAAAGAGACAGCGTGTGGTCGATACAAAAAGAGATGTGTTATTGGGTCTTATACCAGATCCTTTCAGAAAGGGATTAAGTTATGAAGAAGAAAATAATAAGGTATATGATATTTGTTTGTCTTAGTAGAGTTCTCCACAGCACACAGCCACAATGCGTCTTTAACGATAATCTTATATCAAAGACTTTTGTTTCTAGGGGATAATATTTAGATCTACTAATTTAAAAAAATATTTAACGAATAGCAAGTCACGTTACTCCTAAGTGGCTATATATTTTGTTTTCATGGTCGCTAGTTAGAGTAAATATGTATAGCTTCTATTTGAATTGTTAAAGTATCACCTCAACGTCCGTCGTTCCACAACCGAGCGTTTTTCAAGACATTTTTTGCCGCGCACCACCACTATGTGGAATCAGCTGCCCACTGAAGCATTTCCGAACCAATTCTACCTAGGGTCCTTCAAGAAGAGAGCGTACCAATTCTTAAAAGGCTGGCAACGCACTCGCGATCTCTCTGGCATTGAGAGTGTCGATGGGTGTCGGTATCACTTAACATCAGATGAGCCTCCTGCCCGTTTGTCCCCTGTTAAAAAAGTTATAAAATGCGTCAAAGGATTACAAAAAATATTCTAGAAACTCATAATTTCCAGATGTATTTAAGAAAGAGAAATTTACGCACAAAGCTGAAGGAGACCTATAAAATGGCATTTGAAAAGGAGAATACAAGACTTGTGGTCTTCAAAAAGGATGACCAAATCGATGATATAACAGACCATGTCAGGACCTGGTTTAGAGAATGGTAGGAGATTAGTACGATCTGATGAGTAGAAAAATCAGGTACCACCAAGGGATTTCACAAAAACGCATTTTTCAAAAAATTTAGGACCATGAAGGCAAATAAAAATAGCAACTATTTCCTAAAAATTCTTTAAATTATTAATTTCGCTTGAAATTCTAGAAGTAAGATAAGTGAAGATGATGATGATTTGGTATCAGTGACAGAATGTGCCTGGCTCAAACCAGATGACTATTTCAGGTTCTATGGATATGGTTTCTTCCCAGAGTACCCTTACGAAATTGAAGGTGGTACAGTAATGGTGATACGTGGACAATACCCAACGATTCAAGAGAAGAAAGAAGATGATGAGCGATACCTAGCGACTATGAAAGGGAAGACAAAAGAGATGGTAAGAGACACTGAATAAATATCAGTCCGTTGTATTTTCGAAACGATTCGACTTAGGGTCCTTCAACCAAGGGCAACGCACTTGCGAGCTCTCTGTCAATGTGAGTGTGTATAACATCAGGTGATCTCGTTTGCTTACATATAAAAAAATACGTGTGTACTTATGTACACGCGTTAGAAGTTATACTTCTTGGGCGTAACAAGATAAAAATCTTTTCAAAATTTTTATTCTACTTTTGTAAGAAAAACGACACTAACCATGGAAAAAACTAAAATGTTAATTATAGCTAACTTCAGGGTGTCAGTTTTTTGTAACGGTGTGCGCGCGCATCGTAATAATTTACTCTCATAATTTGTAATCCAAAAACATTAAAACCTAGTATAGTCTGCAAAATTTTTTTTGGAAATTTTGTTTTAATAATTATGGTCAACGCAAGTTTTATCAAAATATATTTTAATAAACGTTAGTTAAATTTGATTAAAGTGAATTAATAAATTAAATTAAAAATTTATTTAAAAGTGTGCCAGTATCTATGGATATCCAGATCTAACTCGTTTATCAGAATACCGGTAAGTTTTGACTAAAACGCGTTTTTCTGAGGGACAAATGGGATGATGGAATGCCTGGGGATCTGGAGGGTACAAGGAATTTAAATTTATTTAGATATCTTAAACGCAAACGATGTTTCAATTCATTTTCTACGATTGTGTTTGTTCCAAAAACATGCGAAGAAGGAAAGAAGCAAATATTTGATAGCAAATAAATAACTCTAAATTAAAATGTTTTTATAGTCTGGACCGTTCGGAGCTTAAACAAGTCCCGTTAAAAGAATCATAACATAGTACTTGAACATATTATATAGTCAATATATTAAATTTTTGGAGCAGTTTTCAAATGTTGTATAATCAGTGTCTTCATACTAGGGTCATATTGTTTATAGTTAAAAGCTGAAGCCAAACAAGCGAAATTAGATGCTATACAAAAAGAGTTAGCAGCTAAAGAACAGAAGAAAAGAGAAGAAGAACAGCTGTTTCGTCTACGCTGTAACCCGCTCTCAGACCCTGGCTACCAGCCACAGACATCCCAAGTTATGGGGGACATTGTAGAGGTAAACTTATTAAACCTATTATTTTTTATAAAACGTGGACTAAAGGTAGATGGTTCCCATATTCATATATAAATAAAAGTAAAATTTAGCTATTATAAATGTATCAAAACCTACTGAATCGATTTTAATAAACCTTTACCTATGTTATTGGATTCGTAAGTGTATATTTGACCATAAATTTGGAGTGAAATTGGAAGTCATGGAGATGATCCTCATTTAAACCAGTCTTATCAGAAAGTTATTTAGATAAAAGTCCAAGCATCCAAATGGAGAAGAAGGCAGGTGAGGTAGTCAGCACGCAATATCCCGTCCCGTCAAAATTACATCAGTTAAAATCAGGACCCATAGCATATCATACCTAATCATTCTTGGGATGAAAATGTATGACGGGCCCTAGGCAAAGGGGGGAAAAATTTCTTTATTCAATAACGAGTTACATTGTTTTAGCAGATATTGGAGCCCCTGAACTTAGTCTAGGGAGACCTGTACATCAGGGTACTCCGATCTTCCAACGGCTTAACGAAATTGTAACTTAACAATCGTTACCAAATACAATAAAGAAAAATATAAAACTGAGACGTATTACTAAAATAAAGATACAGATTTATATGGGTGAAAGTTGAAATGTTTGTACACACCAGAAGTGAATGTCTGATAATGTTAGGGAAGGTATGGATGGGATGGGAGGTGGAGAGTGCTAGTGAGTGCGAGTGTAATAGTCCGGAGTGCGTTGCAAATGAGAAAGTCACTATGACTTTCTCATTTGCAACGCCGGCTGATATTAACATCGATAGTTGATCTTATATTACTAATAAGTGAACCGACCGTCAGCTGCTCAAGTAGCGGTGGGTGCGGGTGTAGGAGGCTGCGAAAGAGGTAAAAAAATAAAAAAATAAAGTTATAGTACGCTGGCTGAAACTTGTTCCATGAATAGTTGATGACATACTGAGCAAAAAAAAAATCATCAGCTGCATCGTGGAGGGGGATTATGCGTCAGCTGCCCGCATGCACTTGTGAAAAAAACGTAAAATAAATTTAATAAAACACTATTTTGACCGGATTGAAGTTATGTATTATTATAAATTTACAACTATTTAACATAATTTTAAATTTATCCGACGTTTCGCGTGCTTTACAGCGTGCGTGGTCACGCACGCTGTAAAGCACTGAATAAAAGTTATGTTAATCAAAGACAATACAACGTAAAATAAAGTTATAATACGCCGAATGAAATTTAACTCCGTGATTCTACAAAAAATATATGCGGTCTTTCCACCGCTATACACGCAGCTGATTGTTATTTTCGTACTTTAAATTATTTAAACGATCACGTAGTCCAATTTCATCCGGCGTACAATGACTTTATTTCACGTGATTTTATTACAAGTTCATGCGAGCAGCTGACGCATAATCCCCCTTCACGATGCAGCTGACGATTTTTTTTGCTCAGTATGACATCAACTATTTACGGAAAAAGTTTCAGGCCGTACTATTCTTAATTTTTTATTTTTTTACTTCTTTCGCAACCTCCCAATTCCAAACCCACCGCAGGTCGCCACTGACGCTTGGTTCAGTTATAAGTATTTCGAGATAAATAGTGAAAGAAGGAAAATAGTCGGCGTAAAATCACTGCTGGTGGGATGGAATGACTCCCGTGAGAGTGTAAGTGCATTGTGAAAATTAAAATTAGATTATTCTTGGACTAGTAATTAAGTTTCTTCCTTCCAGGTATTTTAAGTGGGCTTAAAATAAAATTACTTTTTCTTGAGAGGGAAAATTATTTAATGACAGGTTCTTCAGAAATATCAAGCAGCTTGGTCCATATATGATGAGTTCCCTCCTGACAAATGTCCTGAAGCCTTCTTCGGCTACATGCAAGAGATACTAACAGAGGATTTAATGGGTCAAATACATTTAGACTGCAGGAAGTACGTGGATGAGCTTATGAGGTAAGTTAGGTAGAGTACCACATAAAGTTTTAAATAAATGACTTCTTCAACATTTACCCCAAATAGCTAGTTCTTGCAATCTATTTCATGATCTTACAATTATGTGGTAGGTAAGTTAAAATGTAATCTGGCAACCCTTCATATACATAAATTGAATCTACCCTCAAAATATTATGTTATTTGTTTTTATAGAAAAAGTAAAAGTTTTTATGTGTTAATATTGTTAGTTTTTTATTTAATGAGATTTGTACGATGTATCAAAATACAAAAAAAATGTTATTTGAAAACGTCACTTGACAAGTTGTAATCGTGCAGTAAACATTATGCATTATACATAATCGTTCTGAAGTCTCAAACCATTATTAGCATTCTTCAAAAAGTATTGCTCTAGTGCAGTGTTTCCCAACGTGGAGCCCACGCCCCACAGGAGGGCAATTTCATTGGAACAATTCAATTTTTTAATACATAAATTATTTATGTTACATGGGGGAGGGGTGGCATAAGAAAATTACAGGCATTTATACCTTATTATAAAAACAAATACAGGTTAGATCTGAAGTTACTGATAAAGGCACACCAAGAAATGTACAAATCTGTCGGTTGGAAGTTTCCAAAAATGCCCACAAGGAAGAAACCGAAGGCGCCACCAGTGCCAAAACCATTGAAAATCAATGATGGCGTTTTAGAAAGCTTTCACGTACGTATTAGTTCGGTTCCAGTAATATTTTTCTCAATACGTTTTTTTTTACAGGCACCAAAATTTATAAAGCCCTGTATGGGTAAATAACCCATGTGTGATATGAATAAGAAATAATTCTTAATCCACCTTAAACTACTAGAGATTGCCACGAGCCTAAAGATGGCTTGTGGCAATGTCTAGTGGAGTGGGCAAGGCACTCTAAGCCAAAAGACAACACAAAGTTTACGATTCAAATTTGGAAGTTTGCTGAATCAATTGCTAATCACTAACTTAAAAAGCATTTTATTATCATAACAGCAAATATTCGACCTTGGCCTTGTTTCAAAACCGACTAATAAAATAAAGGAAATAATTGGCGATTTGAATTATTACGCTTATGATGTTAACATACGAGATCCAGATGCCAAGTAAATAATTAAAATATTTATTATGTAGCTCGCAGCGTCATTATGTAGCGGGACTTTTAAAATACAATATAAGATTTTGTCTTCTAGTAGATTTGGATTGTGAAATGTAGTTACTAAAGGATTCAATACTATTTTTTATGCAAAAAATAAGTTTTACTCTGGGCTTTTTTTAACCGACTTTGAATTCTCACAAATTTGACAGGTTTCAAAATCTTTTTCGTGCAGGGTTGGATTTAGGGAAGGGCAACCGGGGCCTCCACAAAAGAGGGGCCCCCTCAATGACATCGCAAAATAAATGTTTTATATTCCGACTAGTAAACAACGTTTCTTTTGATATATTTGTATAATATGTTTGTTAAATACTAAAAGAATTTACTTGGTTCACAATAAATTATTGATTGAAAAACTCGACTGAACAAAAATTGTTAATTTTATTTGAAAAATAATTTGGGGCCAGGGGCCTCCACTCCTTTGTTGAGGTCTCCAGACCTCTAAATTCGGCCCTGGTTTGGTGTACAGAAAGCACAGAGATCTCATCTTTTGTGGTCGAAAATTTCTGGACCAATTTTGATTTAAAATTGTATCAGTACGTTAGTTTGTTACCGCTAATTGATATAAACTTTGTAGTGAATAAAATGTTATATAAATTTATAAGAAACATTTTTACTATATATTTTTAGATTTCCCCCACCATCATACGGTGATATACGTAGACGGCTGACATTATCATGTGTTTATGGGTCGGGAATCGAACCGGGAGCGACTCGAAATAAAGCTGTAATGCTATTGGGACCACAACGTAACGGAAAGTCGTTTTTGGTAGATACAGTTTGTGGGGAACTAAGTAAGTCAATGTTTCATAGAAATATTACAATAGTTTATTAAAACCTAAAAATTACAATCAAATATACAGTATTTACAACTTTAACGTAAGTACATAGTAATAATAAAAATTACTAAAAAGAAAATTAAAACAAATTATATTATAAAAAGTTTGATCGCTGTGGTACCTTTAACGCTGGCAGCATTTTCTCGCTGTATTGCGATACTTATTCGTTGAGCGAGGAAAGCACCAGCTCTGGGGTCACCGGTACTATCTACCAGGCGCCAACTTAAATCTTTAATTAGCACTTGTGCACTTGAACTCCACGGCCCAAGAGAAATTATTTATCACAACTTATGCCTCTTATCGTATACCTACGACCGACAAGGAAACGGCTCATCCTGACGGACATAGCAAATGTAATAATATACCTATAGGATATTGAACCACTTGTAACTATTGTGTACCTATACGATGTAATATTCTTTGTGGTTAAATTCTCAAAAACGGTATATAATAATAGTAATAAAAGCTATTTCTAAGCATTACAAAAAAAATCTTGAGAGGTGTCAAGGGACACCCGGATGGAACGAAGTTCCTTTCGATTAATTTCTATGTTAATTGGTATCATAACAGTATGATAGATTTTCTCGACACCAATGTTATATTTCATCGTCTATTAAAGTTTTAAGAGACCAGGAATCTAGAAGATTAAATAGTAAAATAACTTAAATATAAATTAAGTGGCACAATTAATAAGCATATTTCGTATTTCGTGGTTCAGATGTTTTAATTCCGTCTCATCTGGATCATCGTTGTGATATTAGTGCACTAATTTTTGAATTCGCAGAATTTCATGACATTTTCCTGAAACATTATTTTTTTATTTATTATTACGAATATTTTTTAAAGGTATTGTATTTTGCAAGGAAACTAGGGACCCCGCAATTATTATTGTACAGGGATTCTGGTGTACGTTTACTACGACTAATTTAGTTAAGTGATTCCAAAAATAATTTTCATTTCTTATATTATCTTATAATATTATCCCTACGAAAAAAAAGCCAACATCACGAGGTGTTCCCAGGCGGTCACCCATCCAAGTACTGACCTCGCCCGACGTTGCTTAACTTCGGTGATCGGACGAGAACAATAGCAAATAGGTGTCGTTACAACTTTTCCTCTTATTTTTTCCGTCTAGCCCCCTTTCCCAACGCGCGATAAGGAACTTCGTTTCAATAATATACAGCTTAGATTTTATACATACCTTTTTTACATTTGTTATCTTATGTGGCCCATATCCTAACTACCTTCAGTATCGTCGATTGGAACCCCTTCACAGGTAATCCAGCTTTTTTCAACTGTCCATGGCTCCCTTTCTCCATTCTCTTCCTGCTACCCCTTCTATTTCATCTAACAACCTTTTTTCTTTTGGGGACAACTACAAACTGTATATATATTATCTATTAAATGATCTGGATTGCTTGGGGATGAAGTGGATGTAGTGAGTGAGACCGTAGATGGCAGGTTATAATTGTCTATACGTTTCTTTAGACGCAGTTAAGATTGATATAACACCGGAGGTATTTAGTGCCCACGTTGACAAACCGGCGAAGGCATTGACGGAAGTGTTTTTGGCGGCGAAAGTTTTTCAACCCACTGTCATCTATATGAGGAATATTGAACGGGTTTTTTGTAAAAAGGTATAGGTATATGTTTGTTTCTTTTTTGTTTTTTTTGCTTTTTTTCTTCCTTCATTTGTTTTAGGATATTGTGATAAAATATAGTGCTATTATTATTGTATCAGGTGGCACCAGAAGACAAATACCTGCAAGCAAAAGCGATGGCAGTTCCGCTTAATAAATTAATCAAACAAATGATACCTGATGACAAAATTATATTTATTGGTAAGTAACGGGTACGGCGATTAAAAAGAGTGTCCGTAGAGCTTTTTTCCAGTTTCTCTCAGCCTACCCCTTGAAATTTTTAACCTTCCATTTTTTTCAAACGTTCATAAGTGAACCTAGTCACCAATATAATTAATAAATTTTTGATTTGAAATGAAATGGAAATTGAGTTTCGTCGATTATAAGTGTTCTATATCAGGTGGGACAAACGCCAGCCAATTATTAATTAATAGGTTTACAATCCCCCATATAAGTGTCGAAAGCTTGCATACATATTTGAAGCGATGTTTTAACACCGCTAACTTAGAGTTGCCATTAAATTTTTTATTGATAGTTCATCGCAACGGATTTCCGTTTTTACCCACAAATCTGCGCAGGCGTAACTGTTTAGCGATATCGATTCTTCAAATCTTGATATGAAATTTCGATAAAGCTCTCTATGTTCGTAGCGGCGGTGTCGTAACCACGTTAAGTTCTTAATTTATTGTCAAAAAAATCAACGGTAATGGACCATTGTCGAAGTAGACATTGGGAGAAATTGCCTATGCAAAAATTTATTTGGATTTGTATAGGAAAGACACCTTTTGTATTGCAATAAAGGTTTATAGTAAATTACCAAAAATATTAAAAGATCTTCCTACTTATGAAAAATCTACATAATGTATTACTTTTGGAAAAAAAATATTATTCTATTAATGATTATTGGCGTAAAACATAATAATTAATATTATTTTGATGTAGTGATCAAATAATATAAGAATTGAGTATAATGACATTATTCATAATGTCTACTAACTTCTATGTAAAATTCATTTTAAGACAAATTTTCGCGCCATGTGTGGCAAAATATGCTTTAGATTATACCACATATTTTTCTACCATATTCTTGCAAATAAATTATTATTAAGGTAATCACTTAGTAATCGTGAAAAAAGTATGCATCAATTCGTCTGACCCACGTCATTGTTTCAGCTACATGCTCTAGCCCATTAATCGCTCAAACAAAACCGATGGTGTCTCTATTTAACGAAATTATTTTAGTACCTAGAACGGACTATAACAGCTTACGGACATTTTTCTGCGACCGGTTACAAATGTTAGTATATAGTTTTAATACAGGATAATACATTTTTGTAGTTTAAATTCTAATGATTAAAGGTAATTTCAAAGTGGAAACTGGCAACACTGAGCGTCGGATGTACACGACTTGATAGTAATTTTTTAAATAAAACACAATAGTTTAAAATTAATTTAAAGTATCAATAAAAGATAGAGAGTTAAAACTGAATTTCCTTTTTTTTTCTTAAAGCGTAGGAGTCGTATACTTTTCATTCATAATTAATAAAATCGTGCGCTTCGTAAAAAATTCCTAATCAGGGAAGGACGAATCCTACTCAGAAAGTTATTTGTTCAATGAAATAAATGAATGAAAACTAAGTTCTCATAAACCTGAAGAAAAGTTATTTAAATGTTATCTATCAGAAAAAGTATAGCGCCATGTAAGCGGCTCCCAATCGAATGCAGAAAAACATTTTCTTGTTAAACGTTCGGTTAGTGACCAAAAACATAATATAGGGAATATTTTCATCGAAATGTTATTAATTTGGCACAGCGTACGTACTACGTTTGTTTGTAGAATAGAAAAAGTCCCGCGGTGTTTTGGAACTAAATTTGACAGTCGGCAATTTGTCATTCGTGATGTTTCAAGTTCGTTTGTTGTGGTAGATTTTTGTGAATTTTTAACTAGCTTAGTGCATTTTAAAGATTGATTACAATGCCAAAAGTTGTAAAAAGTTCGGCTCGAGAATGATATTAAAGGTGAAAGAGTTCTTGAAGCGGAACATAAGTCAAGGTGTTTTAATACCACTAAACAATGTTCGGAAGAGGTTGCCGCCCAAAACAGGTACTTTTTAGAGTTGCTATTTAATATTTTTTGCTGTATTGATGGGATTTTATGATATAAATTGTTTTTGCGACAAAATTGAATAAATACATAAGTGATGAAACTAGGTAACTGAAATTAAAAATATACTTATTACATATTACATAAGCATTATAAACTTAAAGTTACTATTATTTTTAATTGTTCATCATTTAATTGCAGGTGTGTCAGAGAAAACTGTAACAAGAATTACACAACGAAGGTATAATAGCGGCGTGTACTTCGAAAAAAATTGTAACCCAACAACCCAACTATGCAATAAAACTCTGAATAAAAAATGTTATTTATATTTCTTTACCCTATTTTCTCACCTTTCCCTGTAAGTAGGTAGAACACCGCTAATATAAGTAAATAAAAATATACTTTTTACATAACAGAAATATTGTTTCATCGAAGTATGCAGAAAATAATATTTGATAAATTACATCTGCTAAATGTAAATAAAATAGGTAAATTTTTTTCACTCATAAATGGCAACATTACGTTATGCGATTGCAGCGCCGCGTCTGGGGCTTCTTTCATGAAAAGGACTATACTACGTTTGTTTGTAGAATAGAAAAAGTCCACAGACTATACAAAATTAACGATCCGCAATAACAGAGGAGTTTTATATTTGAAGTAGCAAACGTAAATGGCTTTAAATAATTCACAGGATCCGAAGTATGCCTCGTGACTACTGCGTGCAGGCGTTGGCTCAAGTGTTACAAGGATATGGGTTCGGGGTCATAGTTGAAGTTTTTAATAGAGTACTAACGCCGGAGAGAATCGTAAGGTAACATAATATGTGGAAAAGTTTGGTTTTAGTATAAAAAAAAGGGTGCGTGTACTTATGTACGCGCGTAAGTAGTTATACTTCTTTGGCATTATTAAAAATATCTTTTGATTGCATGCAAATAATTAATTACAATTAAATAATCAAAGACAGGAAAAGGAGTCATTATAGTCAACAAAGTTCAGTTTACATTTGAAAAATTAAATAAATAAATATTTATTAATATTATATTTATATTTATTATTATTTTCTAATATTAATTAGTATTGATTTAAATATTCAATTTAAATCACTTCTGATTATAATTCGGACGCACATATAAAATTCGCACTTGTATAATGAAAACAGGTATTTTAAATGTCAGAAACTCAAAGCATGTGGATAAATATTATAAATATAAACACACAGTGAACAGAGGCGGCGTGCGTGCCAACATGCGCCACTAACTTCATTCTGTTAATTTTGTGTCACGGTGCGCGCGCATCGTAAAATTTCACTCTCATCAATTTTTCATAACGCGCCTAAATAAGTATAACTTCAAAAATAACGAAAACTTTCCCTCGTTTATGAGAAAGGTTACTTAATAAAACTTATTTATACGAAATTATATACAAAAACAACCATTGGGTTACATAGGTCTAATTTAAATAGGATAGACTTAATGTCCTATTATGTTCGCGGCCATGTCAAAAAGTATGAAAAGCTGAAAAAGTATTTCGCGAACAAAAAGTTTACATAAGTTATTTGAAATAATTACTTATTCATTGCAGTACTGTTCATTATCTGTTTATATTTAAATAAAACTTTTTTGATTATCAAAAGTGAATTTATAAGGTACATTTTCTTAACGATTGAGTGACCTTTAGATAAGTTTACGAGTCAGTAGTTCCTGATATTAGAGCATGCTAAAAAACAAACATTTCAGCTTTCAACTCATCAACATATGAACTTAATTGTATTCATTAAATTGTATTAAGCGCTGTTCTATTTCAGATTGAACGTAACTCCACTTACGCCAGCGGAATTCTTAGATCCCATCTTTCAAATTGGGCTAGAAGCTACGACTATGGAGGTCCTTTATTTTTTCTAATATAGTTATTTTGTTATTGTCGTTGCTCTTTGGTTAACGCTAATACTTTCAAAGACAATTTTTACACAGTAACTAACGAGAATTTTTAGGTTATTTTTACAAAACACAAAATATCATCTTTCAAGTTAAAATTTTTATGATATTATAATATCCTTAACAGACACAATTTCGTAGCTAGGTATTTTAACTAAATGCATATAATTAAATTGTTTTTTTAAAGGAATATCAAGAATTCGTTGATTTCTACATAGCAAATTCACCATTATCCATCGAAAGACCACAGTTTGAGAAAATCAATAGTATAAGAGCTTTGCTTTACGGGAAATTGGCAAAGAAAACGAAATCGTAAAACCTTTTTTTAATCAATTAAAATTAAATAGTCATCATCCCGACCTTAGAACTGATTATTTTTTTGATACAGTTATAGTTAAACGCTATCAATTAATTTTGACGCGACAAATATCACCAACATGTCGAAATAATCAATTCTACGATTGTACCACGACAATAATTATAGAGAAAACTATTAAAATTGTGATCCAAAGTTTGTGCTATGATTTCATAGAACGCAATTCACGATGCTTTACAAGTATACGTCAATACAATGTCTGTTTTGACAGCTTTTCCATACAAATTGTTTAGAAGTTAAAACTTAGAACACGAAAACTTCTCCAACTCTTTATAGAATATTAAAGTTAATAAAGTACTTGTTACCATGGTAACAATGTTATTTCCATAATTGTACTGTGAAGTAATACACTGTATTAAGTTTTATCTACGTTTAATATTCATAATTTAATGGGCATGTAAGGTATTTGTTTTAGTATGGAAAGACCATTCTAAAACAAATTGTTTTGAATCTGTTACGTATGGTTCCTGCTAAAGCTAACCGTGAAGTGCGTACTGCGTACATCTCTCCATCAGACTTCTACTTTCTATGAAAACTATTTTCCTATATGCGCATGTCTTCTTGTAAATACATTTTAAGATATAAGTTTAATAAATTAATTGTAAATAAAATGTGTTTTTTTATTAAAAATATATATGTATCTAATTACAATATTATAGGTATGTCTGTGTCGATTTTCGACATGATAGTAATTATCAGGCTGTTCAGTTTACAATGAAATTTCTTCTGTAAATAATTAATAGAAGGGTAAGTCGTTGCCAGTGGCTTAACAATAGGCTGGCAAAATGCCACGGGCCCCCGACCCAAGAGATATATAATGTTTTATGGATGAATGTGAAGTCTCCAATACGCATTGGGCTAGCGTGGGGACTACAGACCATTCCCTCTCATTTGTTTCACCGGCAACGATTAACGAGTAACGAGTAGAGCTAGAACTAGAAACGAGTTAGCGAGACGCGGGGAGCGAGTGCGTAGTTCCGATATTTGTGTAGCTCGGCTATAAGCGAGTGTGCGAGTGAGGCGGGCGATTACTCGCATCACTCGCTTTATTTTTTTTAGAATTCATCATCATCGTCGTCTGAACTAGATAACAATAATAATTCAAATGATTTTTCGATATTCACATTAACTAAAAAAAACGTGTACTTTCAGATACGCACTGTAGAGAAATAACCACTGGTTGCTCTCTCGGCGTGAGTTCTAATCGCTTGGCGAGTATCGCCGAGCGATTGTTATCTTTCATAGCTCTTGTCGATCAGCGACAAACTAGTGAAGCGAGTGCTCGCCGGCAGTGTGAACAGTCAGTGATCAACTGTTTGTATATGCATCTCTTTTGTTCACACGGAAAGTATATCTATTGTACGTTTCTTGAGCGAGAAAATAGCCGATAGTTAGTCGTTTTCTCGTCGTTGGTGGGACAACTGCCTAAGAGAGCAGGCCTATGGCCATTAGTGGGACATATACAAAATGTAATTGAGTACTCTGAAAATCTCTAAGTTTATTAAAAACGTGACGATTTTTACTGATAGGGCCCCATCAAAAGAATTTGCCACGGGCCCCAGATGGTAAAGTTACGCCACTGGTCCTTGCCTATATAAATATAAGTGAAATTGACGGTTTATATATGCCCCAAAGACTAGGGTTTCAGTAGTATTGGGGGTTTTTAAATAACATTAAAGCAACTTCACATAAAAACGCCTTTTATTTAAATATTTCAGTTTTACAAGCTAGATTAATGAAGGTCCTAAGTGCAATAGACAATTTTTTACCTTCTTAACTATTTCGCTTGTATAATGCATCTCGTGGTCTAATTATGCTTCAAGTACAAACTTTTCGATAGTTTCGTTACGTACGTAACGTGTACGTCAATACTGTATAATGTAATTACTATGTTTATATATATTTAATTCGACCTTTTAATTATGTAACACAAACATCCTATGTATGTCGGAACCCCTACACAGTACAGTACAGGTCCTACAGGTAATACGGGTGGAATTTCGTATTCTTTCTCATCGTCCGATGATCAAACATATATTTCCATAGCTTTTTATAGTTTACTTATATATGAAAGGATACATTAACAATTAAATTGTTTTATACTCTAGTATTTTGTTTTGTCGACGATACTATCGAAAAGTTCGTGCTAAGCCGATATTATAATCCAATTCACAGACTATGAACATAATAAAAAGTTAAATAATCTTATTACACTGTTTTAAATAGTACTCTGTCATTCGTAAATGTTCCATTCGGACAATTAATAAAACCTGTGAAATAGTGTCAAAAAATCTGACACACACAAAATTTATACGCCCGTAACGTAGAACGTTAATCTTAAATCTAGTTGAGACAACAGCTGTCAAACCATACTGTATGACGTTGACATATTTGACAGCGCTCAAGGCGAAATTATGTCTTGCGGTACGAATTATAATGTGGACCTGAATGTTCTTATAGTTTATTCATTCTGTATTAGAACAATATACTGCGTTTAATTAAAAAAAAGCTTTTCCCTTTCTTCTTGTTTTAAAATAGTTTTTATTCATCAATTTATTCATTAATTCAAAGTGAAAGGAGATTATAGTCAATTAAGTTCAGTTTACATTTGAAAAATTAAATATTAATTATTTATTATTTTTTTAACTAAATTATATTTAGTTAAAATTATATATTATTATATATTTAAATCCTAACACTAAAATATGTTGTTGCTTTGCAGTATTCACAATATAAAATTAATAAATTTCTTTGAAAAAATAATCAAAACTCCTTTAGGTATTTGTTTATACAATGTCATTATGTCATTCAATTCTTATTTTTTTTTTTTACTTTAGATTTTTTTCCTTCTCCCCTATAATCACACTCCCAATTTTGTAAGTGCCTGTAATTCTTTAAATTTTTATAACTAAAGAAGTATAACTTCAAAAAATCCTTTAAATCTTTATGAAAGTATGTATCAAAATAGTGTAACAAGGAGTTTTTAAAGAAAGTATTAAATAAATTTAACTATCCCATTTCTTGAATTCAACACCGTCTGGAGGTTTAACATCCACCTTTTCCTGTCCTACTTGGTTCCAGTTTGTGCTTAGTACGGTACCTCCTGATTCCATCTGAAAAATATATTCATTACTTATGTGGATGATTAAAGAACCATAGTCCCAATAGGCTGACACATTTTCTTTCAAATAAAAATCTTCATAATAAATCTATAGGTAATGAAGCCTTTGGATGTTGTTCCCACGAGAATGTAAGGGCATGCTCCTATTTCACCACCATGCCTACTGCTGATAGACAAATCTTAGTTTTTTTATATTTTTATTACTATAGTTAATTACTTAAAGATGTCATGTGGAACAAGGTGTAATGGTTGCAAACATTGTAAAACAAAAAACTTGGCGATTAAAGAGTGGTGGAGAGCTCTACGCCCTTTATTTGAGAACTGGCAGTAAATATAAAATTAGAAGCATTTAATATATATTTCTTTTTCGACGTTCATAAGTGTACATTGTGTTACCTAAATGGATAAATTATTTTGATTTTGAATTTGAATTTAACGCTATTACGCAATCTCTTTTAACACCATGATTTTACATTAAATTTAATAATTTAAACATTAGATTGCCACAGTATTGAAATCCATAGTGATTTTACTTACAAAGCTCTTATTCATGGCTCGTCTCACTTCGTCCGAGCCTTCTCCATATATTTTTTGGAATAGTGCATTTAATGCTGCATCACCTTCAGGCTTTTCCTCTTCCTCCTAAATAACGGATTTATTAACATATATGTACATAACATTAATAACAATTTAGATTCTATTAAAAATATAAACATAGAATTAGCTTGGTTTTAAAAAAGGAATATAGCATGTACAGTACATGATTAACAATCTATCTAGTGTACATCCATTGCAAACTTAAACACATAGTATGACTTATGTGAATGCATATTCATGTAAGAAAACATTTATTTATTATTTATTTATTTATTTGTTGTAAGCCCGAAAATAGTAATGTTCACCAGAGCCAAAATCTTTACTAAAAATTGGAAAAAAAGTTGTAACAGGATTTATAAACATATTTTTATGTCGACATATATTCTATTTTTTTTAGGCTTACTAATATGCATTGTATTTTTTGTAATATATAATATTATATACAGTAAATCTATAAAATTATAAACCTTATAACACAAATAATTACAATGGAAATATAGAATGGGATTCCAGCTACAGGAGTAGCTAACTGACTTTGGCACACAATTTAGAAATGTCCGTATGTTTTTGTTCAAATGTTTTAATTGAATTGCAACAATTACAGTTGCAGTTTTCTATTAATTACTGTCTAAATTTTTAATAAACATTTATATATTAAATTTACCATTTTTTTAATATCTTTTTCAATTTTATCCCAGTCTTTTTTGAATAGTTTAGGGGGCTGCTGTGGAGGTGGTCCTAGCGCATCTATGACGGCTGAAAATATATATTTGTGTTTGAATGCATGTGTGGCTTAGACGAATTATGTCTTTCACAATTGTGAAAGACATAATTCGTCATTCAATTGTATATTTTTTATTTTCCTCTAAAACATAGCTGAGCTGTGTTAACATGAAACACATTAGTAGAGTTATGCTCCAAAAGATAAATTTGTCATCAATTACTTACAGAACATAAAAATTTTATTGCAACCATAGATACAGGATTAAAATTACATATGCCTTTTTTCTTACCGAGTTTAATAAGTAAACTTTTACAAAACTATTAACCCAATATTTTTTAGTTTTTGTTTGAAATGAAGGAATTCTTACCTAGTGGTATTGCTTTTACTATCTCATCCTTGCCTTCTCCTTCCAAATTTGCCCATCTTATTCCCTCCTTTTTTCTTAACTTTACCTCCACTTTAGAGGGACTGACAATATATGAACACATTGTGGGTACTATTTCATGAGCTAACTGTAATTCTAAACTATATTCCATTTCTGTATTCGGCAGTGCAATAGATACTGAGAGCTGTTGAATGTAGTTAAAGATAATAATTTTGTATTAAAGAGACAAGAATTGTTATGATAATTGTTGAGTTTTAACAGTCCACATTTATATTTCTATAATAAACTCTTATATGACAGTACAGCTGATCAAATGAATCAATTTCATATAAAATAAAATATTTCTTTTGACAAAATGTTGTAATAACCCTGTGGTATAATTATAAAGATAACAAGCAACTGAATTATGTAGCATGATATGTAAATAATAAAGTCTTTAAGATGCTTATAAAACTTTGGTTTGTTAAATATGAATTTAAAACCTGACAGGCTGACAATGTTTAATTTTGTTACTTTATTTATAATTATTACTTATTAGTTTTAAGTACTTACACTCCGCTCACCATAATTAGCTATTACTTTATCACTTTGAGCATTTTTAATAAGTATTGTGACAACCACCTGTGACTCTGTTTGATACCAATCATGTTTAATCTTTGGTTTTGCTATCTAGAAAATAAAATATTTCTATTAATTATAGTTGGGGAGGACCTTCAATGTCATACCGTTAGTTTTCTTTTTTGATTTTGCTTTAAAAAAAATTGCATTAAATCTAGTCTACTAAGGTGTAAATGAAAGTTATGGTGTTAACTTTCAATTTTTGGCAATTTTTATACAATACAAAGAAAGTATGTCGTCAGGAGTAAGAAACAAACATAATTTACAATAACCAAAATCTGTCCTATTTTACAGTTTACCAACCTCAGTAGCTGAGTTATGTTTGCAATCTCCCATCTTTTAATCCAATTTTTACTAGACAATCGACTTAAAATTCGCTTTTCTAAAAATAGTTGGATTTTTCTAGTGTTTTCCAAAATTTATCTTTCGCTGGCTTTCTGACAACTGTGGTCTGTACTCTGTACTTTGTATTCTGAAATCTGTTAACACTGAACCACAGACATCTAATAGATTAATATAGTGTCTAATATGAGTTTAAATTTAAATTATTAAGTATATGAATTTCAATTACATTCAAAATATGTATCAGTTATTAATTCTTTTAATATTATTTGCTAACAGAATATTAATTATGTTAATAATGCAAACTAAACTGTAATTAACTGATGACAATAGTGATGGGTAGGACAAACGATATTGAAGTGTTTGTATGTCCCACCTCATTTTATAAAATGAGTTAATACATTGTACCACTTCATTTGAGGATTCTGTTCTGTACTGTTAGTCCCTTTATGTACGAATCCATTATCTCTATGGCGCAGGTCTTTCGACCATAAAAAAATAAATAAAAAAGGGTGCGTGTACTTATGTACGCGCGTAAGAAGTTATACTTCTTTGGCATCATTAAAAATAGTTTTTGATTGCATGCAAATAATTAATTACAATCAAAGACTGGAAAAGGAGTCATTATAGTCAATAAAGTTCAGTTTACATTTGAAAAATTAAATATTTATTATTATTCTCTTACATTAAGTGTAACATAAATTCTATTATTATTCGAATGTTGTTTTTAAATTATGTCCAATGCCGTAGCATCTTCCGTGGGCAACTTCATTCTGTTAATTTTGTGTAACGGTGCGCGCGCTACGTAAAATTTCACTCTCATCAATTTTTCATAACGCGCCTAAAGAAGTATAACTTCAAAAAGTCAAGTTATTTATGCAAACAAAAACCAATTACAATAATATGTCACAGTGAACAGTCACTGTCACTCATTCAATAATATCGATTTAATCAGTTACTCATCAGACACGATTTTTAACTATTGTCATTGTCCTACTTGGGTCCCATCCCAATAAGACAAAACAATTCATCTCAACTCATTCATGATATACGACTCACCGCCTCAATCACATTCAGCGCCTAGCCCGCGTTTGAAATACATCAACGAGTTTGAAGCGGTACAAAATGTGTGTTTGAGGTGATGCGACATTTGACAACTTTGAGTGTGACATTTGAGGTGCCTCATGTATGAGGTGCGCAACACTAGATGACAATGACGTTATTTAAATCTTAGCCATTTTTTTATGATATTGACAAATGACAACTAGCGCCCAAAATTTTCTTCTGACAAATGATAGAACTTAATAATTAATAAATATTAATCAGCTGTTGCATTGCTCGTGTTCTCACTTCACTCATCTCTATCGCAATTCGCATTAATAATAAATATATAATAAGTATTTTTTTTTATGAAACTGGCAGGTTTATATTCCATAAAGTTTAAAATTTTAAGCATTATCCACCTATAATTTGGAATATGAGAGTAAGTAAATGAGTGTATTATAATTTATAAATTAAATTTATTATCGCAGGTCATAAAATTGTAATAAATTAGAAATAATTGTCTTATCAGACATTAAGTGTATTTTATTTATGCGATAATATGTACAACAAAGTCACATTTTTTCTAGTATATACGTATCATTTAGCAAATACATATAACATTGTAAATATATCATCTAATCTAATATAACATAATTTACTTATTGATTGCTGATTTTATAATTCAAAAACAACAGTTTTATTGGTCTTTTTAGACATATACTCCTACTTGGCTGCTCCAATAGTACTGTTAATTGATATTTACATAGAAATATAATATGCATAGTGTAAATATAATTTCATTAGAAATAGTATTAATAAGGTTTTTGTCTTATAGTTGTGGACCACATCACTGATTAAACGGATACTAAGCATAGAATATAAGAAATATACTACAATGAGTGCAAAGCGTGTTGCTGTGTGCCAAATGACATCAGTGGGGGACAAGGCGCAGAATATGAAAGTTGTATCACAACTAGTTAATAATGCTGCTAAAGATGATGCTCAAGTAATTAATAAAATATTATTCTCTTATGTTGTTTAAAATAACTAATCCAGTTTGATGCTGAAAGAGACATTTTGAAATTTTTTAAACAATCATTTATTTGGAAGGCAATGCTGATGATTAAAATTAATATAAATTTCCTTAAGCCTTAAGTATAGAATGTTTTGGGCAAAAACCTTTTTTTTAACATTTTGACACACATGTGTTTACTGTCTTTATGAGTAATTCATTTATATACCTTAATTTTTGTATTTTCATTGTAGATGATTTTCTTCCCTGAAGCCTGTGATTTCATCTGTGATAATAAAAAAGATACACTTAGTTCTGCAGAATCAATTTTATCTGGTAATACTGTTAAGCAGTATCGAGAATTAGCAGCAAAGCATAATGTGTGGTTGTCTATGGGAGGTGTACATGAAAAGGTGTGATAATTTATCACTTTTATTTAAGTTGGACATACTAAATCTTCACCTTTTTAAGTACCCTAAATAATTTAGAATTCACCAGTTTCATATAGAAAATACAAAATTTAAAAGAGTACATATTGTAATATTTACTTACACAAAATTATGTTGTGAACCATTTCACTTTGGGCCAAATTGTTTAGATACTGATTTAAGTCAGCTTTTGTGTCAGTCCCATTTTAAACATGCATTTGTCTAATAAATTATTATTGCAGATACTTACTTTGAGCATCTCTTAAACCTAGTTTGTAAGTGTTAATAAACCTTGCTCCTACACTTATAAATTTTGTCTACCTAATCTGTATATCTATAGTAAATTCAAAAAAGTCTTAGATTTTAAACCTATTTTTGTTTTATAACCAAGAGCTACCTAAGTTGTTATATATTAGTTTTTTTTAGAATGACACAGATTCAACAAAAATCTTTAATACACACATAATAATTGACAACAATGGAGAAATAGTACAAACATATAGAAAGCTGCATTTATTTGATGTTGAAATACCAGAGAAGAATATAAGGTTAAAAGAGAGTGACTTCTGTGCCCCAGGAGGGCATATTGTGTCGCCAGTTGAGAGTCCTGTGGGAAAAATTGGTATTTTTTATTTGTTTTCTTTATGTGATTATTTACAATCAATTATGAAATGTCTAATATGGTCATTTTTGACAATCAATTTCAATCAACATTTAGCCATATTGTGAATGTAGAATAACATAGCTAAATTGTCATCTTGAAATAACCTAAGTTTTATAACGTGACAACGTCAAATAAATTGACTGCACGCACGAAAAAAATGACTCATTGTCCCGTTACGCTCATTGTACGCTTGCGCCGCATCTATTTCCCTTCCACTCGATTGGCCTATGCGTCCGTGGATTCACTCCTTTGTATACATACAAAATAGTGATAATTCAACAAAAAAGATTCAATTTTATTCATAAAAGTTTGCCATCATTTCATCAGTGTTTTGTTATGACTTTGTCACGTTAAACTATTGTCCGTAAACCGACCATACATACAACCATTTTTTTTATTAATGACTTAATTGTGCGTCACCGAAATAAGCCTATAACAGGTTATGTAATCTTACATTTCTTTATTAATTATAGGACATTTTATAGAATATCAAGCATTTAGCTGTTTTTAAAACTATTTCTACAATCCACCAAACAAATTTATAATTATTTTAAATATATCTTAAGAGAGACCAAAACTGCTGCGTGACTAATGTAGTAAATTAGCGTTGATAGTCGTTAATGTAAATGAAAATGCATTATATTGATGTGACATTAGTTGTTTTCAGGTATGTCAATATGCTATGACATGCGATTTCCTGAACTCAGTACATCACTGAGTATACTCAACGCAGAGATCTTGACTTTTCCATCAGCCTTTACCTACGCGACTGGAGCTGCGCATTGGCATTTATTATTGAGGTATATAATAAATTAGTAAATAATAATTTGTATGTGTTTCAAACAGTGTTGTGGTGCAGTTTTATTTTTATTTTATAGAGCATGGTGCATTCGGACAGGAGGCTCATCTGATGTTAAGTGATACCGCCGCCCATGGACACTCACTTAGGGCTAGTGAGTGCGTTGCCGGCCTTTTAAGAATTGATACGAAGGTTATCTTGATATTCTTGAAGGACCCTAAGGTTCGAAAATACTTCAGTGGGCAGCTGGTTCCACAGTGGCTACGCTCGCCTGATGATAAGTGATACCGCCGCAGGTGGATACTCACACTGCCAGGAGGCTCGCAAGTGCGTTGCCGGCCTTTTATGAAATGAATCCTTTTTGCTCCTTGCAAATATGCATTAATTCCCTCATCACTAATTGACTCAGCAATCTATTCTAAAATACATGACCATTGCGGTAAACATAAAATTAAAAATACTAATAAAAATATTACACTTCCAATATTAGTTTTTACTAGTATTTTTTATTTAAAAATAACGCTTTTTTAAATTGATCCGCCCACTACCGAATATATTACGTCAGTTTGTCAGAAATATGAAATATATTTATTGTGAATAAACGTAGAAATAATTCTATTTCTTAGCATACTTCTTTAGTCTTTACGACGGTTGATTACGCACAGACCATAAATGATTTTCAGGGCAAGAGCCATAGAGAACCAATGCTATGTAATCGCAGCTGCTCAAACAGGACAACATAACGCTAAGCGGCGCTGCTACGGGCACGCGCTTTGCGTGAGCCCCTGGGGCGAAGTCCTAGCGGATTGCGAAGAGGAGTCACCGTGCTATAAAGTAGTGGAAATCGGAGATTGTAGGGATGTTAGAAAAAATATGCCAGTTTTCCAACATAGAAGGTATGTTATATGTATATGTGTGTGGCTCAATAACCTTTTTAGGTCTGGACCTCATTTCTGTATCTGTATCATGATCATTTGTCAATCTAATAAGCAAGTAGGTGATCAGCCTCCTGTGCCTGACACACACCGTCGACTTTTTGGATATAAGGCAAGCCGGTTTCCTCACGATGTTTTCCTTCACCGTTATATTAATGTTAAATTCGCTGTAAGTCAGAAGTCCCTTGGTGCACAGCCGGAGATTGAACCTACGACCTCAGGAGTCTCACGCTGAATCCACTAGGCCAACACTGCTATTCTTCACTATACTAAAATAATTGTTATTTTTTTAGTACAATTAAGTGTTATATGAACTGTGTGTTTCATGTATTTTAATATCAAGAAATAGTAATTTTCAATAATATTCATACACAGTAGAATCCAAACAATTCAGGCACCAAAGTTTGGGACAAACTGTTTCAACAATACTTAAGTTTTTAAACCAATAAATTTAATTTTTTTTTAAAAACTCACGTTATTGGTTTTATTAACGTAGTTATAAATAAGTTAAACTGGCAACACATAGAGTTTAGAGTGCTGTTACTAGAACGCGAAGTTAATATCCTTTTGATACATATAATTTATTTCCAACATAGAAATATACATTATTTGCCGCCCGTTGCATCCCTTATAATTTTTATGTATTGTGTTATTTGTGTTTCTTTTATTTTTATTGCAACGAAGTGTAAATAAATAAATAAATTATTTACAATATTCTTAACCTACATAGTAATAATATTAAATAAATAGAAAATTATTTTTTTTAAATAAGTTTGGTCCCTGTGGCAGTCTACCTTTAAACCTTTAACGCTGGCATTTCCTCGCTATATTGCGATACTTGTTCGTTGAGCGAGGAAAGCACCAGCTCTGGTCACCGGTACTATCTACCAGCCACTTGAACACTTGAACCCCACGGCCCACGAGTTCACTCCAAAAGGAACAAAATCAAAGTTGGAGGAAAGGTACAATAATATACATATTTTTTCAGGCCGGATGTATATTCCCTGTACGCGTTAAGTGTGCGCAAGAGTCTATTACCAGAACATTCAACGAAACAGTTATCAGCCGAAAGTCAAACTTCTGATACGTTTGAAAATGAACCAATGAACACATTTGGACATGTTAAAGTGCCTGAGAGCTGCGTTTTTTATAAGTCGAAGTTAACTTACGCGTTTGTGAATTTGAGGTTTGTATATTTTAATTAGTACAACTAGCTGACCCGCGAACTACGTTCCGCCTAACAGTCTGTGGGGTAATTGATTTAACCACCATTTTAAAGTGAATTAATTTAATTTCATGTTTGGTTACAATATTCACTTAATATAATATAAAGAAATAAACATATGTGCGTCAAATACCAAGCCACCAAGCGCACTGACCACGTACCACTGGTTACCTGCGTGCACGCACACATTCGCGCGAAATCCCGCAAGACCAGTTTTATGTAGTTCTGTGCGAGTGACGATATTATGATATCGATGTAAGATGTCGATAAAAATATGACATTTATGTGTTATACATGTGTATGCTACAAGTCTAATAATATTGTGTTAACTTTAGTTCAACTTAATTTAAAATTTCATTAAGGTAATACAACTTTTATTGCAAATACATAAATATAGAATGGCAGTTTTACACATTATAGGTACATGAGAGGCGAGCACCATTTAATAAGTTTCTAGGCTAGGTAGTGGGAAGACAAAGAAAACTTCTTCACGTCTAAAGTATATATAATTATTACAACGTACACAGAAGGAACAAAGTTAATAAATGATATGAGTTGTAGCACAATAAGAGAAAAGAAAGCGTTAAGACAAGAATAGATTAATTATAAGTCACAAAGGGAAAATTCGTAAATCGTGCACGGGTTTAGCGTTTGAAAGTTCTGATCGCACTGTCCGCTGGTTGCGCTGCCACTGGCTCCACCCACCGCGCCCGTGTCGTCACACATAGCGGTAAAATCACCGACGCGGTGGAAAAGAGGAGTGATATTATTGTTCGCCACAGGCCTCTTCTGTCTCTATATTGCGATATTGCGATGCATGTTAAAGCACTTTCTGATCCGGCGCAAGAACAAAGTGGTAGGTTTCTTTTTTATGCGTAATTTTGTCAACAGATGGCACCACATGGTGTGTATTCTGTTCTAACTGTAACATTTATTATTTCTCTTGTAATAATTAATAATAATAATAATAATAATAATAATAATAATAATAATAAATCGTTTATTTGCCAAGATAGCGGTACAATTAGATCGAACAACAAGAAAAATCCGCACAATCAGCCATATATAAATAGGCATGCAAGTGTCATATAATAAGAACATTAACATAATGTCATAATAAGAAGTTAAGTCATTTATAATTGTTAAACTTATGGTCTAAATTAGACAGTCTTTTTAAAATAACTACAGCCCATAACGGTGAAAGACTTTAAAATCGGTCCAGTTTTGTTTATTCTTTAAAAACACAAAAATACAAATCGATCTTATAGTTTAGTAGATAGATTAAGTATCTACAAATACCTTTATTGTACCCACTAACGTAGGGCCCTGGCTGCAATCTCATCATTTGGTTATGATGGAGCAATAGCCGATCGCATCTCCAAGGGGCAGCAGAATTTAGTGTTCATACTTTTTTATACTGCAAAGACCTCATTAAAGCCCGCTAACAAAGTTACTCCGGCTAAAGATATATACAACTTCCCGACGCCAGTCGACTGGTCGAGGATTCTCCCTATAGATCGGAGGAATTTTTCACCATCTTCCCTCTAAATTTCCATTCATTTTCATTGTTTGATATTGATTTAATTTTTTTGTATAGTCCATTTATCGAGGAAGGCGTTTTCACTTTTTGACACAAATGTGCTACATACCAAGAAATAAAATAAAAAAATCAGTGGCGCTACATCCTCTTTAGGCCTGGGCCTCAGATTTCTGAATCTGTTTCACGATCATTTTTAAATCAAAACAAATTTTTGTGTCTAAGACATATCGGTTTCGTCACGATGTTTTCCTTCACCGTACGAGCAATTGCGCACATAGAAAGAAAGTCTATTGGTGCACAGCCGGGGCTCGAACCTACGACCTCAGGGATGAGAGTCGCACGCTGAAGCCACTAGGCTAACACTGCTCCATACCAAGGAATATGTAGTCTAAATGGGAACCTGTAAAAAAATATTTTACAGGTGCGTGATTCCGGGTCACGTGTTGATAGCGCCTCTGAGGATGGCGGAACGGAATCAGGACTTAAGCGAAGAGGAGGCCGCGGACTTTTATAAAACCATACGACTTGTACAAAAGGTACGTTTTAATTATATAAAAATTAATGGATTATTTTTATCTCAAACAATAAATATAGTGAGCGTCTTCGGTGACTGGCCAGCTCCTGCCTAACAGTTATGAAAAACGCTTTCTTTTTAGTATAAGATCCCGATTTACAACGACCTTCACCGAGATGCTTATTTAATGAAACGTATTTTATATTTAATTTAAAATGTCAATAAATATAATCCAATCGAAAGTATGAAGCCCATAGAATATGCAAACGTTAGGTTGCCTATTCTTTTCCGGTCACAACTATCGGGTTGACAGGTATAAACAGGTAAATTTGTACTAGCATTTTGCAACAGTCTGTTTATTGAATGAAATTTAAATGAAATTCGATTCGATTGGTATAGAATTTATCTAATAATCATACTGGTGAAATGTTAAAAAAAAAATTTTTTTTTTAATATTAATTAAACATACTCTGGACTGAAATTTGCTAGGCAACCCATATGGATTATATTTATTGACATATTAAATTAAATATAAAATACGTTTCATTAAATAAGCATCTCGGTGAATGTCGTTGTATATCGGGATCTTAGACCATTTAGAAATATATATAAATCGTGGCGTGAGATATAAATCAATAAAATAATAAAGTCACTGAATACTAATTTTCTTAATCATTATATCATGTATGTACAAAAATTTATCTTGAATTTTTGATGATCGTGATGTCACGATGATTACTAAGAATATAATGGCGTAAAAGTCTTTTCGATCTAAAAATAATAATTTAGTACTGCAGCGATATTGTACGACGGTACGGTAATCTATTAAAAAGAGGAAAGATTTTTGTAACGAATATAATCAATTACTGGACCGATTTCATAAAATTATTTTCTACATTTTCTCTAAAATGGGCTATGAGCGATTTATAAGCAATGTTGGCCTAGCAGGCTTCAGCATGCAACTCTCATCCTTGAGATCGCAGGTTCGCTCCCCGGCTGTACTCCAATTGACTTTGTGTACGTGCGCATTTAACACTCGCACGTACGTGAGGAAAACATTGTGAGAAAACCGGCTTTACACCTTAAAAGCCGACGCTGTGTGGCACAGAAGGTTGATCACCTACTTGCCAATTAGAAATGATGACGGAACAGATACAGAAGGTCCACCAAAAGATTGTAGCGCCATTGGTATATATAAAATGGACAATATTTTAAAAACTTCGTCCAGAACAGACCGCTGCCGAAATACGTCTGAACCAATATAATTTCAGATCCTCAAAAGCGTATTTTACAAAAGCCGATCACGTGATATATAACTTGGTTGTTAGGCTCTTCCGTAAATCTATTTCATGAATATATTTTGTTTCAGCTCATGGAAAAAGTTCACAACACTCGCGCGTGTACTGTGACGATACAAGATGGACCCGATGCGGGACAAACTGTCAAGGTATGTTGATACAAGTAAGGGAGCGTTCAAGTATTACGTCACGCAATTTTTGGAGATTATTGACCCCCCCACCTCATGTAAGGCGGCGTAACGTTTTTCTGTACCCAATAGTAAAACGTTTTGTGACCATCTAGTGACTCTTTATACCTAAAAGTTACCATTCTGTGGTGTTAAGTACTGGAAAATCGAAAATAATATTAACAATAACGCCTTAATTAAACGAAACAACTAATCACCGCATACACGAATTCAAGTTCGACCAGTCACAAGTAGCACCCGTTCACGAGCATGACGCATGGCCAGCCCATCGGTCCTCTCGCCATATTTTAGGGAAAGAAACGATGAAATATTTATTAATAAATGTGTTTTCAGCATCTACACTGCCACATATTACCAAGGAAAAAGGGAGATTTCATAGACAATGACTTGATATACTTGGAGTTAGCGAAACATGATCAGTGAGTACATTCATCTGTATGTTGTATTATCAATTGGAAAGATTTTCTTTGTAATTAACCTTAGTTAAAGTTCTTCCACTAGCGACAACGGTGACACATTGTATTTATTTCCAAAATAATTTCCATTTCTTTCCATAAAAACTAGTGATTTCGCTGTATGGGGACGATGTTTTCATTTTTAAAGTTTTTTTTTTAATTTGTTTCTCCTAATATTAAGTTTAAATAGAACTAGTGTTAGGAGTAACATTTTAATTAAAAAAATCAGCCTTTAGAACAAGCCTCATATATTTTTTACTTGGTACTAAATATTCGAAGACATACGTATATATTTCTTTAAAGTTAAGAACATTTATTTTTCTAGATTTACATCAAAACACCCGGCAAAGCCTCCACGGACTCTTTCAGAGATGAGAAGCGAAGCTGCAATGTTAAGAGACGAACTTGAGAAAATGTCCAAACAAAGTTGATAGTTATATTCGAATATTTAAGTGTAAATAAGAATTTATCAATCATTATTTTGTTTTATTTATCTTGGTCTTCGATGTGAGGATAGTAAATTACACACTAGTGTTGTACAGTTGTACATACACCACTGAACTAGTGGTTATAATCCGGGGAAATTGTTTTAAATTACAAAAAAAAAACTCATGTATGCAATTTACACGTGGTAGAAGTGAGACCTTCAATAACAAAGTTTTTATAATTAATAATAAGTAAATTAGACTTTTTTCTTTAAAAAAAATATATTTTAATTTATAAGCATATTATATCGCATCTTTAATGAGGTAAAAACTGAAATAATGAAAGTTTGAAATTCGATGAAATTAAAAAGCGACAGTAAAAAGAGACGGACACAAATTCACAAGATTCAACGTGGGAGAAAATGGGAGTAAATAAAATTAATGAATTTATTTTTATAATTGAACTACTTACTTGACTTACTTATTTAATGTTTTGCACATCTATGTTTTTCTAAATCAGAAAATGATCAAATACACACTAATTTAAAGTTTATACACTGCACAATGCTTCCCATCTCATTCTCTCCCACGCCAAATCATACGAATTTATGCGTCTGTTTCTTTTTCAGTTGCATCCGGTTTGAAATCACAACGATTCTAAAGAAGTTTCACTTCAAAAATCATAAGTATACTAGTAAGATGACGTGACAATCTGAAACGAGGTAAAGTGTTTCTAACCTATTCTAATATATAACATCTCGACATCGACTTAGCCTCTGAGACCATTAGAGTCAATCAGTTACTGGTCGTGGATCTTTAAAGCAATTCTATAATCCAGGAATCTCTTGATACACCCAATTCTTTTCATACTCGACCATGGCGGTCATGCCATCCAGATGAGAGAACATCTTTCAGCGTTCACACTTGTGCACGCCTGGAGAACCTATTTTCATACCATGTAAATTACTAGGTATTTCTAGATTTTACTTTGGCTTTATAGGTATATATATCGTTGCGACAACTAATTAAAAATAATTTTGATTATCTTATTAAAATTTCCACAGCGTACAAAATGTATATATTTCTTTAGACCTCAACAAAATAACTAACGTGAAGATGACTGACACAGATGTAAGATGATATTGAGGATTGCTCAAGGTTATAAAAAAAACAACAAAAAATATTTACAATTTATTTATGACACAAAATAAGTCTTACAGACCACACACGGCAAAACTACACCAGCGCCATATAATTGGTAAGAAGTGTGTAAAGAATACAAAAAAAATATAACCTATATACATAAGTTTTGGCTTCTAAACTCTTTTATTAAAAACTTAATTTTAAATCGACACCCAGCGTTTTTTAGAACCTACATGCTTTGGAATTTCATATACAGTTGTAAAATCTCCAGCAGGATTGCAGAAGTAAACATCTTTTTGTACTTTTTGCTTTTACTAATAACGCAGCTTTAAATATATTATTACTAACTCCTACAGGAATGGACTGTATTGTAAAATATTAGTATGTCATGCGAAGCCCTTGTACTATTTGCTATATTATTTTACATATATCGAAATCTGTAGAAATACACTACTTTTTGAAATCGTAAAAGTATATGGTTATATACGAAGGTTTAAACATTCATGATTGTAATATAAAAGCCCATACAAAGCACAAAAAACGATGAAAGCTACATAAGCAATCAAAAAATCATTTAATCATAAGTCGATCAAACCCATTTTGGTACACAATTAGTAATTTCCGATTTTACAATCGGTCTTCGTCGAGTATCATAGCAAGTTACATATTCGCATTCAAAAACTTATAATACCCTAATATTTTCGTAAAAAAAAACCAGAAAAATATGAGTAATTAAAACTATTACCGTATATTTTCGTCGTTTTCATTTTTATCACATCGAATGGAAGAAAAATCAAAGTTGGTGTTTGATAACAGTTGAATAATCTACTGCTTGGTGGCGTCAGAATGATTAGTTTTGCAACTATCACAGTTAGGGTGAGATCTATAGTCCACTTGGACTTTGCTCAGACTTACCTTACGAAAAACTTTGCTTAGTGTACACTAAGGTTAAACTATGATTTCGTATTTATAGACATTTTAACGGTGAGATTAAGCTAAGACAGAAAATGTCAAAATACAAATTGATGTTTCATTTCATGCAATACTTTGTTTATTATCCTTTAAAAAAGTTAACAATAACAAATATTTAAAAATCTAAAACGGTACACATATATCTTCAATTTATTGTTATTTATGTATTCATTTATTTTATTATTGCAATAACTAGAAATTCACGAGTAACCTTTAGAAAATGTATTAATTATTTAAAGATGACAATAATTTTATTACGTAGAACGGATCGCAATGTTTTGGTTAGGTTATAGTTTGAATTTCGTTTCACTATAATATGCCAATTGCCAGGGCTGCCAGGTGACATACAAAATCACACCAGTTATTTTTAAGATTTCTCAAAAATGGGGTTTGAACAATTACATAAATATATAAATAAAAAATAAATACCATAATAATTGTAATTATTTTATTTCATGCATTTCATAGGTATTTATCAAGATCATTTATAATTTCTTTGAATTCAAATTCTATTTTTCCCAAAGTCTATGGAACTCCGATACAAAATGGCAACACCGTTCATTAAAAACCGACAAAAATAAAAAGTCCAGTAAAAGATATGATGGTAAAAGCAAATTTTGGGCCATTATTTTTGTTAGGCTTATAGTCAAAGTTTTTGGTAAGTCGTCGATTTCCTGGACTTGAGATTAAGCTAAGCCAACACTAGGGAGAGATTCGTAGTTTGCTCTATAAATACCGACTGTGTCTTAGCTCGATAGTTAAGTCAGAGCAAAGTCTAAGTCCACTTAGATCTCACCCTTAGGGTGAGATCTATAGTGCGCACTTTGACTTTGCTCAGACTTACCTTACGAAAAACTTTGCTTAGTGTACACTAAGGTTAAACTATGATTTCGTATTTATAGACATTTTAACGGTGAGATTAAGCTAAGCCCAAGCTAAGACAGAAAATTCAAAATACAAATTGATGTTTCATTTCATGCAATACTTTGTTTATTATCCTTTAAAAAAGTTAAATAACAAATATTTAATAATCTAAAACGGTACACATATATCTTCAATTTATTGTTATTTATGTATTCATTTATTTTATTATTGCAATAACTAGAAATTCACGAGTAACCTTTAGAAAATGTATTAATTATTTAAAGATGACAATAATTTTATTACTAGAACGGATCGCAATGTTTTGACAACAGCAACAGAGCACTTGTTCAACTATCAACAATTGAAAATTTTAAACCACTTACAAGACAATTTATTAAATTGATCTTTCTTCAACAACGACTGGCTTTGTGACTTGGACCTACCAATCTGATCGTATACCTACTTAAGACCTACCATTCCCGAAACACTGTGACGTTTTGTGATTTGGCTTTGTTACATGGACCGCTTGGAAATATCAATATCGAAAGTGACATGATGGAGAGAGAGTTCTATCTTCAATAGAAAATTGAAAGGGTAGGAACTGCAGCCGATATGAATCCACGAATGCCTAAAGTGTTGTATATGTTCGGAACTAATAAAACAAAATCCTTCCATCCTGTACGGTGAGAATGAATTCAAAAGAAGGAACCGTATTTTGAAACACACGGTATTAAATTGATCCTGACCTGATCATTACAAACTTCAACCTTATAACAACAAGGATCCCAAACCTACCCAATTGCAAATACTTATTGCATTAAGGCATAAAAATGCAACTGGATGTTTTCAGGTAATATTGTGTTCATAAATATGTATGGTTTTTCAATTTGATATATTATACCTCTTCTCAAATGATTTTAAATAGTACATATGTTGAAGACTTTTGTCTTCTGACTTTCAAACATAACATATATGTGACTAATAATACTTTATTGACATTACAGATGGTGTGTGGTGATCTGAACACATAAGCCAATCTACAGTCTGTTTAATTATAAATAAAGTCTCTGCAGAGTTGAGTAAATTACTTCCTAGATTTGTAAATTTTCCAAGAAATATGAACACACCAAAACGAAGTTTGAAGAATTAGGAAGATCTAATACTCCCCATGCCTAAACAGTATATCGGACTATTGACTGCACCCATATAAAAATTAATAGACCCAAAGGTATCGCTCACTCTGAACATACAGAAATAAAAAAGGTATTTTTCTGTAAATGTGCAAGCAATAATAGGGCCTATATGGAAATATTTGCTATAGTGACTAGGTGGCCTGGCAGTTCACACACAGCAGGATATTTAGAAAATGCCTGTTTTAGTAGTGACACGTTATCCAGCACTTAACTTCATGTTAACAACACTTTTAAATCCAATGACAAGAGCTGACAATATTTATAATTATTCTCAAATAAGAACTAGGCATATTTTTAAAGGTTTTTCAGAGTATGAAAAAGGAAATTTCCATGTTTAAAGCTAGGACTACAGTCTAATTGACAAATACTAGTTATATATAATTATAGCTTGTGCTGTATTGCATAATATAGGTATACAGAGAGGCGATGCTTATGATGATGGTGATCTTGCTGACAGCAGAAGTTGAGTAACACAGAAACAATGAAAGATCTCCTACAGGTCTAGCATTCCGGCAATCTTATTGCACAATTTAACTAGGTAATTTGTTTGGTAATAAAGAATATCAAAACAAAACTTGTTTCATTTTAATCATTTATTTTCTGATTTTTTTTTAAGTGTAATACATATTTCTAATACTAATTTATATTTTTGTTGAAGAAATTCTATTTCTAACAGATTTTTTAATTTCATATGTTCCACTCCTATCTCAAATTTTTTAGGGTAGTCAGGTAATAAATGGTAGAAGATCAGGGAAACGAAAATAACAGATGTGAAGCGAGAGACATCGGTTAGGTTATGGTTTGAATTTCGTTGTCACTATAATATGCCAGGCTGCCAGGTACATACAAAATCACACCAGTTATTTTTAAGATTTCTCAAAAATGGGGTTTGAACAATTACATAAATAATATAAATAAACAACAATAAATACCATAATAATGTGTAATTATTTTATTTCATAGGTATTTATCAAGATCATTTATAATTTCTTTGAATTCAAATTCTATTTTTCCCAAAGTCTATGGAACTCCGATACAAAATGGCAACACCGTTCATTAAAAACCGACAAAAATAAAAAGTCCAGTAAAAGATATGATGGTAAAGCAAATTTTGGGCCATTATTTTTGTTAGGCTTATAGTCAAAGTTTTTGGTAAGTCGTCGATTTCGTGGACTTGAGATTAAGCTAAGCCAACACTAGGGAGAGATTCGCAGTTTGCTCTATAAATACCGACTTGTCTTAGCTCGATAGTTAAGTCAGAGCAAAGTCTAAGTGCGCACTATAGATCTCACAGTTAGACCCAACCCTGTGAGGAGATAGCGTTTCTAAATAGGTCTCTCATACTGCCACTGCTCATACCGCTTCTATTACCACTGTTGGGAGTCATTCGGTACTAGAGAATTTTGAGAATTCCCACTGGCGACGATATCGTAGAAGTATTCGGGGCAATATTTCCGACAGTAGTAGTGATAGTGAAATTTCTTAATAACATATCCTTACCGATCTTTGAATACGAATATATAGCTAAGCATTACTTCTAAAGGTTAGTAAATTTCTGTTATCTGTTGTTGTAACTTCCTATAGCGATCTCCACGTTGTTGTACCCAATTTTTATAGTTCTTTTAATAACTTTGAGATTTTGTGGTACAAATACTCAGGTACACATTCTAAAATCTATCTCAAGTCACAATCCCTAATTCGTCAAACTACAGAAAAACAGCTCTTGAAACAAGATTAAACTATTGACGTTTTGGCCTCAATATAAAGTCAGGATAGCTTTTGAGCTACAGAATAACGTCGCTAAAAGCGTTAGTTGCAATATTTAGATACGAAAGCTGGTGTCAGAAATAAAAAGTCAATCGTTTCTGAACTCGCTAAGGTCTATTAAAATAAATAAATCGAATTTGATTAATTCAATGAGTGGTACGACGAAAAACAATGTTTACGAACAGTTTGTTCGAATTTATAACAAAAATTCAAATCAATAGATAGCTCCTTGATTATCTGAGATTTTAGCCTTCACAGTTAAGTCCTGTTAAGGTACAACAAAACAATGTTTAATAATTTTTTAATTTACAATATAATAATAGATTTAAATAATGAGAGAGACAAAAATACTTGTCGACTTTTTACTAACACACAAATATTTTGTATGAAATTGGTCACGTGACTGTCAAACCAAACTTCCTTACAAATCAGTTGTTTGAGGCCCTCAAAATTAATCGTTTTTAAACCACGATTACTATATTGAATGGTTTTTGATAACAAGACGTTTCATTAAGAATTACCAACTTATATATGCCTACACATTAGCTTGAATAATTTAGTAAATATTGTGTTAATCATCTGTTAAACAGAATTAGCTTAAGGTGTGGGAGCAATAGCTCGGTTAGGCCGAAATTCGGCCTTTTCAGTGTCAACTGCTTGTTGTACAGTGTTGAATAGTTTTAGCGGAGTTTTCCTGTCATTAAGCCTCGCACTTCGACGTACGGGTGTCACTGTTGGAGTTATTTGTTTACTGAAAAAAAATATATATGTATCTAGATCAGTGTTTCCCAACGTGGGTCCCACAGGGGGCAATTTGATTGTTGATTGGAGCTATTCGAAAATTTATTAAAATTGAAATTTGAATTTCAGGTTTTCATTATGTATTTTAAAAATTTACTACGTTTCGTTAACAATTTCCTAGTAATTTCTTCCTAAAAAATATTAAACAATTACATTGTTTAATAATAAAAATTATTTATGTTACATAGGGGCATATGAATTTAAGAAAGGCTAAAGTGGGGCATGGCTCAAAAAAGGTTGGCAAACACTGATCTACACTGTCCTAATAATAAAATAATCAACACTTGGAACTTATTTATGTATATATTGCAATACATAAAGTATTTTGTGACGAAATTAAATTTGTTATGGAAGAGCTGGTTTACACTGGTATATAAACTTTAAAGGCTTCCCAAATCTACATACAATGCATATCTACATACATCATATTATATATAATGAATAAACACATTTTAATTTAGGCTTGTAAATCAAAGCTATAGTAAATATAAAATATTAAATTTTACGCAAGTTTCGCTGAACAGTAATAAAATTAATATTTTTATCAAATATTATGATACTAATATTTATTTACAGCTTATATATGCCAAATAATAACAAAAAAATTTACAAAACTATTACACATTAGTTTCATGTTATATACTAAATAAAAATCCATATAATAGTTGATACGGCACTCAAAACATCGATTTATGTAAAAATATAAGCGTTTTTGACGTTATGCTTCTTTTGGCGCGTTAGGGAAAAATTATGAGAGTAAAATTTTTACGATGCTCGCGCACCCTTCACAAAAAACCGACACCCTGAATGTCTGTTCAAACGTCGGTAAAACAGTCTGGGCCGCTTGTTGGCGCTTGCTCTGTTTTATCTACAAGTTGCATTGCCTGTCATGGCGTAATGTATTTCGGAGACTTGTTTATTTAAACCAAAATAATGATTTCTATACAATAAAACTATTATATGTGATAAAAAACATAGTGTTTATTGTAAAATATCATGATTAGTACATATTATATCATTTCGATCGGAAGTGACAAGAAAAATGCAATAATTCGAAGAGGGAAACGTCCCTTTAAAGTGCTTGAAGATAATTATTACGCCAAAAAAATATAATTTCTAACGCGTGTACATAAGTACACACACGTTTTTTTTACATTATAAGAACAAATATCTCATAAATATTTGTATCATTAAAAATTATATTAAATACTTACATATTTTCTTGCACAGCAAATTTAAGTAATGTACTTTTAAAGACATTTTTTGCGTCAACCAGCTTTGGGTCCACTTTCTTCTCGGAACCAGGGTTAATCTTCAATTGCATAAACTTGGCTAGCAGCTGGTCAATGTTTTCTTCTGCTACTGTCCGCTATATTTTTGGTTTTAAGTAAAGTTAACACTGTGTTAGTATTACGTAACGAATTTGGGGGGTTTCCTTTAGTAAAACGTTACGATACGGGACGGGGATTGAATTACGCGTTATTGTTAATATTATTTTCGACTTTCCATTACTTAACATAATGGTAACTTTTAGGTATAAAGAGTCACAAGGTGGTCACGAAACGTTTTACTATACTTGGGTACAGTACAGAAAAACGTTACGGCGCGTTAATGGGGGTAGGAAGGTATTACTAAAATTAGTTATTTAACATTCGCTCGAACGGTGAAGGAAAACATCGTGACGTCGACGGCGTGCGTCAGGCACAGGAGGCTGATCACCTACTTGCCTTTTAGATTGACAAATGATCACGAATCAGGTACAGAAATCTGAGGCCCAGACCTAAAAAGGACACTGTTTTTTTTAAATATTAAAATAACTTAAACCTTTCCCTAAGTTGGAATATACCTTACAATTGAGAAAAAAAAGATCATATTGACATGTCACATGGACATTGTTTTCGACAAATCCGTGGACAAAAAGAAACGTATACATACGTGTAATTTAGAACAAATAGGTACATACAACACATCCTATTAAATAATTAAATTCCAACAGTATCACAATCATACACTTTTGTAGTTGGTTAAATTTTTTAGGTATCTTACATTGGTGCCCTTAGCTAGCGCTTCTTCCCAGCACTGCATGGAAGCTGGCATGTCCCCTCGGGCTTCCTCTAATGCGGCTCTACATTCCCAGTATGTAGCCGTTTCTTGGGCAGCAGTGTATGTATCTCTTATTGCACGGAGCCAACGGGCGCCTTCTTCCCAGCTATATCCCTAAAAATAAATAATTGTAATATAGCTTCTTTTTAGTTTTATTTAAAATTTTTTTTTAATGTTTCTAAAGTGAAACTTTTATTACATCGTCTCAAACTTTTTCGTCTGCGTGTTGCATGTCGCGTGACGGTCGGCAGCGGAGTAGGGATAAAGTGAAAGGCGCTCGTCATAGCAGCCAAGGCCTATATGGCGGCGCCTATAGTTCGCAGCACCGTGTAGTGTATAGACTATTATTTAATATGTGTATATAATCTATACACTTGTTAAGTATTATGTATGTCGTAATCTCTAAGACACAGAGTTCAATAAAAATATTAGTTGGAGACTTAGTCTACTTTATTATTTCCCATTATTTTTCCAATTTTCCAAGTATAAAATTAAGATTAATAAAGCGATTTTTATACCCTTAATGGAATATTATTCCAAAAAAATTTAGTTAAATGTCTATAATGTGAAAAAAGTTTCACTTTTACCGTAGTTTAAACCACACAATGCTTTTTTTTTTGCTCTTGTCAGATTTTATGATATGATTTTGGGGCAGTTAGGGAATGCAAATCCAATAATTTGTTTTCCCTCCGTAACTGTTTTTTTAATATGTCAATGAGAAGGCGGATCATTTGGAGCTGCCCATGAACACCAGCAACACCAGGACGCTTGCAATTGCGTTTGGCTTATTCCAGAATACCGGGCATGGCAACCAGTTCCGTAAGTGGTCCTGCGCGGCAATTATTTTGAAAGGCGCTCTGTTGTGAAATGCCATAGATAAGGATGGAATTTTGGATTAAGGTATATGGGGGTGATCTCTGGAATTACTGGATGGATTTTGAAAATTTTTTTACCAATAGAAGACCAGTTCTATGCTGCGTCTATTTATAAATCTGGATAATGTGTGTTATACCAGTTCTATGCTGCGTCTATTCGACTGTATGTACGCGATAAACTTAAAACTACAGCGCGGTTAAACTTTAAACTAATCTTCTTGTTAGATTATTTATTTAAGAGAAGTTTTAAAACTATGTGGGAATAAAAATAAAATATTTGTTACTAAAAGGATAATATGTCTCACAGTTAGGAACAAAGTAATAATCTTTGGTATAGATATTATAAAACTATTTAATTTTACTTACATTTCTTAATATTTCCGTCAAATCATTGAGAGCACCCAACAACGCATCATTCACCATTGGTGATTCAGAAATGACTGCCGTTTCATAGCTCTCATTTAATTCAACGCTGTCCATATTACTTGGACTCCTCCACTTATTAATCAGCTGTCCGTTCAACTCGGTAAACGATTCATTATCACTATCATTTTCCAACGGCTGGTTTTCCTTATCTTCATCACCATAATCAAACTTTGGAATATCAAACGACTGTTGTATGCCAAAACAGTGTAAATGCTGGTATGTATCAATAGTTTTTCCGCGTTTTTCCAACCATTTCACCAATTTCAATCTCATTTCATCTGGATTTGTCAATGGTGTTTGGAATTTAACTTTTTTCTGTTCGCTCTTCACTGCTGATACCATTTCTTGGATGTTTTCATCTTCATTAATGTAATGCAATGACACTCTGTTTATCTCTCCGATGGACGCCGATCTGTGTATGCAGTTTTTAAGTTCACCTTTGTCAATTTTCTTAAAGTGTACAGCAGATATGGATCTTCGAACTGGCAGTTTAGCTCTCTGGCTTTGGTCAAATATAGTCTTTCGTCTGTTTACTACTGGAGGAGCAATTGGTTTCTTGTCATGTTTAATATTATGCTCTGTATAAACAGTTTTCGGTTTATAGAGTCGATCAAAAACAGATTCTCTCTTTCCCAATGTACCGCCAATAGTACTTTTTCTAGCGACTGCTGCTGTATTAGTGGGTATGAAACTCTTTCTATTATTAAGTGGAGGTTTAGTTGGAATAACTGATTTTCTTAAATTAGCATTTTCTTTAGCCTTAATACTTGCATTAAGTAAGTCTACAGTCTTCTTTTTGTCCAAATCTTTTGTTTCTGCCTTCTTAGTATCCCAATTGACATGCTTTTGGGTATTCTTTATATCCATCTTCTTAAAAACCCCATTCATATTTTTTTGGATATCTTTTGCTTCTGGCTTTTTAAGATCATTAACAATATTTTTAATTTGAGGTTTTGTTTTTTTAGGTATACCACTAGGATAATCAGTTTTTTTGGGAAGTACATTAGAAATGGTTGTTGGTTTCTTTAGGGTATTTAAGTTTTTCTCTGATGTTAAATTATTAATAAAATTTGGTATATTTTTTGGAAATGCAGCATTTTCAGAAGCTGATCTTGAAAAATTGTTTCTATTTGTTTCGCTTTGTCCATATTTTTTAAGATTCAATTCTCTTAACTGAAAAACATACTTTTTGTTAAAATAACAAAAAAGGTAATACAATAATAAAATGTAGGTTTTGCTTTATCCATCTGATCAAATAATAAGCCATTGCAATATCTAAGGATCTCTGACACCAGTTACATTAGAAAGAACTGAAAAGTGTTAGGTAAAGAGCAATTAGAAGTATAGAAAATGTGCGTACCTTCTGAATTCGAGCCTGAACTCTTGCCTCTCTATCTTCTTCTTATTTTTTTATATAATCATTTGATGACATCTGTAAGAAAAAGTAGTATTTTTACATTATGGCATTTAATATATATGATACTGGCACAAATCTGTAAATTGTGCTCAATATGCTTCCATACATATAAGAAAATCAGAGATAATTTTTTCCCTGACTTTATTACAATAACACTTATTATAAATAGACAAATGAAATATGTAACATTGAACCTGTCACTACAATATATATATTTTTACTTTTTAATGTAATTATACTTACATTTAAAAAAATCGAATTTATGTATTAGTCATAACAAAGTTATACTTTTCAATATTCTATATTGTTTTTGGATGTAAAAGCTAATCCAATTGGAGTTATGAATAATCAAAAGAAATATTATATATATATTGATTTTGTTGTAAGTGGTGATCCACATATACATTGGGGAAGTAGTTACAGGTCTAAATTTTAAAATATTTGCAAACGCAATCGAGAAATGCTTTTAGGCGGGAAACGGAGCAGGTATACATTGTATTCCTTAGAAACATCCCATCTGCATTGGAAATGATGTATCTTATATTTTTAATACTACCCATTATGTTACAAAACAACTTATCCATACAAATGTCGATACGATCATAGGTTATGGTTATTCACATCATAACATAAAGAATTTCGTAGATCCAAAAACATTTTGACCTATTAGAAAATTAAGTACTTACTTTGTGAATTCTTAAATACTGCTCAAATTCACTTTCTCCTGATGAATCGTATAAATCTCTTGTATTATGGAAGAATTAAATAAATTATTATTTTTAAATCTTTTTAACACAAACAATGCGATTCGACGGTTACTATACTTTTCAAACAAAAAACAAAACAACTAGAACGTTTCAATTTTCAAATTTGAATCGGACGTTATGTCTACTGTCATATTGTTATTGTCAATTTCTCATTTTTTTTTTTTTTTTTTTTAATTTATTTATTAGCCGGATACAAAGTCCATTGGCTCAATTTCTCATCGGTTAAAGGTGTTGCCCACTGTCCAGTGTTGCTATCTTTTATGTCGCAAGTAAGCATGGCAAAATTGAGTGCTCTAAATATCTCCAGAATATAATCATATCAAGTTTATATAAATAAAAAGTAACTTTTTAGATTGGTTAGTCTTTCAATTTAGAGAAAATAATTTTTTTGTTACACCATTAAATTGGTGACGTTTTTGTTTGTATACTATACATTTACCAACATTAAAAAATAGTACTGACACCAACGTCAATTGACAATTGTCTGTCATTAAAGTAAAAATACTCAAATTATGTTGGTTGCATTGCAGTGCTAATGCCCGGCTAGTCACGAGTGCGGTAAAAGTTGCAATTGAGTCATAATTTGTGACTTTTCTTAGTATTACGGATTTATTTGTGCCATTGATAAACAGGTGAGTACATTGTTATCGTCATTAATTATGTTTTTTAACACCTAGTAGACACATTTCATCTCACATGTGTAAAGTTACTGAAAAAGAGTCAATATTAAAAGCCGGGCGTGCAAAATCTTATAAGTTTTTTGCAAAACAGGTTTTCGCATACCTTTTGTTTTACCAACTTAAGGCTGCAGGTACCATAACCTCGACTATAAACAGCTTTTCTAGCTTGAAATTTACACCGACAGCTGGTGTATTCAAAACAGAAAAATCAATGTTCTGTAGTAATTAATAATTATTAAGAAAGAGAATAATCTCGTATACCAAGTATATTGGAACATATATTTTTACAAATTATAATTACTTAGCTAGTTAATATTTATTAAACTTGTCATGATAAAAATTGTGTCAATAAACCCATAACATATAAATATATTTCATATAAATGTATAATTATTGAAACACTACGTGGTTTATCGTCACATAAGGAAACATAAATTACATGTAATCTTCTTCTATTTGCGGAATATTGTAACGATGTCGCTAATTAATTAAATTGTGATTTTCGATTTTTGTCCTATAGAGTCAATTTAAACTCAGTTTATAATATGATATTTAGTTATATACAAAAAACACAGGAAACCCTGAATCAACAAGAATGAAAATGAGAAATTAATTAAGAAAAACAAGCCAAAGTATAGGTATTTACAAATGAAAAATTATTGATATACATAATGTTTAAAGGGAATCAAGCTAACTGTCATTCAGGTAGTAGTGTTATTGTATCCTCATTTTAACTAACTTAAATTAACAGTTTCATTGAAGTGAATCATGTTTAGTAAACTAATCATGTCAAAAATATTTCCATTTAAGCTAAGCTCTTGTTAGAATCAGTGAACATCATCATAAACAAGGTTGTAACTTTGTAATGTATACATATTGATATTTATCAATTATTATTTTACGACTATATTACCTGGTACACTATAGCCAATTACTTCCAAATAGAGGCTAGGCAGAAGCATTTCAATAATAGTGATGTCATAGTATGACTAATTCTTATAAGCATGACTACTACTGGACTTACAAAAATTTCAATATATCATATTAAAATTTTATCAATGTTCAATAAATTTTGTCAGATATAATGTAGATGTTTAATTCATAGGTAGAGTTGGTCAATCACATCCCCATGGCTCAGTTATCAAGTACTTTCAATGTTAAAATTTTCCTCCTATTGTCTCATTTTATTATTAAATCATGTCTGCATGGTGGCCATTAACTTGAACTATATTTCAACATACATTTTAGTCTATTAATTTATTTAGACCACCTTATGTTGCTTGTTTATCTCCAAAATTTAGACTATTTTAACTTCATGGTTTTTAAGGTTGGGTTGTTTTGACTGAAATTTCTCGAAGTATGTGAATGTTCTTAATGAGATTAATATTTTAATAGTATTTATTTTCTACCCAGTTCATACCAAAACAAATTTGTTTTCATATTGTGTTTACATGTACAATGTATAACAAACGATATCGCACACTAACGCGTTGTCGACAATGACCCGTTACAGTTGATAAAAAGTAAAATTTTGCACCATACATAAGCAATTATAAACGAGTTTTGTTTAAACAAGTGAAGGTCGTGGCAAGGCTTTTGACTTGGGACTAGGACACACAATAAGAAATATGGTTTAGTTGTTAAATTTTCAATTATGATCATTAGGGTGATGGCACCAACACAAGTTGATGAGAAGCATTAAATTTCCACCTTAATTTTGAAATAAAAGTAAAATATAATGGTATAGTATATAACTGTTCCGTGAATTCAGATTCTATGGTGTATGTGCATTATTTGGCCATAATTAGAAGTCCTAAATTCGATTACCGGCAAAACGATAAATATTTTAGCCTGAAATTAAAGTTAAGGCGATGCTTGTTCTTAATTTTAAATAACTGCTAATAAAATCCATATCATGTATAAGATGCGTCTAAAGAATTTTTTTCCACTTCTGCGCAGACACAATTTATTTGCCAGCAGGTCCTCTTTGCCCTGGTTTTGTTTTAAAAGTCCGGAGTTGCTGACGTATTATATAATTCCGTTAAATCAATATAAGTTTCGTTTTCATTTCACTTTCTCCCTCTTAAGTAATTCCGTGTTCACATTTTGGCCGACATACTAAATATTTAATGAATTAAGTTTTACTTTCTAAAAAGCCTTATGCTTTATCCTGGTGAGACCTGGGTTCTATTAGCGGGAAAACAATTGAGGTGTCTGTTGGCTCGAAGGATAATTTGATAAATTATTTAAAAAATGATTAGGATTTTCTAAAATTTGTTGTATGTATACTAATAAATGGTTTAGGTGTACTCGAGTCAAGTTCTCAGTATTTTCGTTGTATTTTTTTAAGTTTCTTATAAGAAATCTAAAAAAAAAAAAACAAATTAGTATAGCAAGGATACTAATATGACATTGGAAATAGTATTTAAGGAAGGAAGTATGTGTGTCAATAAAGACTAGGGACTATAATTAGACATTGTTATAATTATTAAGGCATATGATTTAAAAACATAGCTGCGATGTATGCAGACAGAAAATATTAAATGTCTATTTGTAGGTAACCAACAAATTGCCTGCACTCGACGAATTGCTAATGCCAGCCCTGAGAATACTTTTAATACTACAGCTTAACTTAACTTTGGAATTAATTATTTATGTTGTTAGGGGCTGGGGACGCTGACACATGGTTTTTTACCTCAAACGGTTCCCAAATCTTACACATTGTAAAATAGTATCATAAAAAAATGTACCGCATAATTATCTTGCATTCGAGGCAATTATAATGCGGTTAAACCTTAAACAAACATGGTGTTTTCAGGATTACGTAAGACTGAGATAGTATAATTTATAATTTTAAACATTTTGCATATGACAGTGAATACTGAAACTGGATTATGTTGATTTTAAAAAATCGCAGAGAATAGAGTTAAGCTTGAAATGTATAGCGAAATTCAAAATAGATATATTGATGTTCTATGGTATTGATTATGTAAGTGAGACATCATGTACACTCTGTGGCAAAAAACTAGTTACTTTTTTCTTTGTTAAAGGAGGTTTGATTAATTTGACGATGTATTGACAATTGACATGTTACTTGAAGAAGCATCCTGGCGTGATTCTTTACGTTCCAAATTTAAATTTTAAAATTGGCAAAATAAACATGAGTGCTAAAATTTTAAAACTTTTTGAATATTTTAACTGATCGACCTTAGGTGCCCGTTTTTTTCCGTAAGAGTTTATATTCGAATAGCACACTAAATCTATTTATAAAATTGTCTTGATAAAGATTGTGTCAATAAAATAAGAAAGAAGGTTAGCGTTATAATAGTACCTGTGCCCAAGTAATCCAGTCTTCTGGAGTCAATATCTTCTACCTTATTAATACAACAACATATACATAGTACTACATAAGAAGCCCATTTGTTAATTATAAAATTAAATCGTCGAAATATCTGTCCGTTTGCCACCTATTACATAAAAAAAATTGACCAACTTTTATAACATTTTTACGAACAGATAATACTTAAAAATATTATATTTAAAGCAACAAAAAATTACTGAAAGTTCTATTAATAAAACCTTTGTCCGGTGAGTGGTATATGTTCTGTGCGTGATCAAGTAAGCTATGAAGGTGATTAGGCGATTATATGAGTTCGGTTATTAATAAACATGATATTGATTTAATTAGCTCTCAGAGAAAGGCTCACACGCTCAGCAATTGACTGAAAAGACATGATGATGTAAGATCAAAGTTTCTCTTGCACTGTATAAACATATTCATGTTACACAAATGTAATAAATGTTAAACATACAACGCTCACAACTTATATTTTATTTAATCGAATTTGTTTAAAGTGATGCTATTGACTATAGATTATGCGTCTAGTCAAATTATCTATATAGTCTGTATGTGGGGATATCTGTATATGATTTTGGAAATTATTTTGCCAATAGGTAGTTAGGGGCCTCATAGCCTAGCGGTCTTATTAAGTGGCAGCTAGGTGAGGGGTATCGGGTTCGATTCCCGGTTCGAGGGCAAGTTTTAATTTAATTTAAATTTGTTCTCGGCCTTTGGGAGGGTTGTTCCGGTACCGGGCGAGTGCTTAAACCGTACATGGAGGACAAGGCCGAATTTCTAAAGGCAAGCACGAATTATAAAAAAAATCTTATACTAAATGCTAATGGCTAATGCACAAACCGTGCCAGAGCCATTAAAAAAAAAAGGTAGTTGAAACGTAAGTCGAAAAAAACACATTCAAACGAACACGTTTATTACACGTACCTATGATTGGGTTTTAAAGAAAAGTTCTACTAGCCTACGAATCTCTACCTTTTTAGTATGTTCGCGATAATCTCATTTACTACTGCACGGAATTATTTGCTTTTCACTAATTTCATTGCTACATGAGGAAGGTTTATGTATGTATATACGTTTTCAAAGTCGAGAGTCGAAGTTGCCTCTATGCCGACCATCTCTTGTGCTTACGGCATAAAACAATAATCGTTCCACTGGGAACATTACTAAGGCCACCCACATTTACACTATTTACGTATAGTCCCGTAATGTTTCACTGGGAATTGAAGTACACCGTATGCGGGAATAGGACAACTAATAGGCGAGCATATGTTATATCGACCACAATTCCGTTACATATATTTTCGAATTAGAATACACCTTGCTAAGCCGAATTTATACAAGGACGACATCATAAAGGGCGTGGTATTTGTAGCGACTAATTATATCCTCGCACGCAAACCTATTTAGCACCCCAAAGTTCTTAAATTACGGTCTAGAAATAGGGTTTCGCTTGAGAGCCCCTTGAAAACCTTCTAAACGAATTTTTTGTTTTTTCTTTTTTTGGGGCGTTTTAGAAATTTTTTGGGGGTGAGTTTTCCCGCCGCGCCCCCCCCCCCCCCCACATTTTTTTCGGGGGGGGGCCGGGGGGGGGGGGATTTTTCCCCCCCCCCAAAAAAAAAATTGTTTTTGCGTGGCGCCCCCCCCCCCCCCCCCGATTTTTCCCCCCCCCCTCCCCCCCCCCTTCCCCCCCCCCCACAAATTTAGGTTTTTTTTTTTTTTTCCCCCAAATTTCCCCCCCCCCCCCCCCCCCCCCCCCTTTTTTCTCCTTTTTTAATCTTCCCCCCCCCCCCCTTTTTTTTTTTTTTTTTTTTTTTTTTTTTTTTTTTTTTTTTTTTTTTTTTTTTTTTTTTTTTTTTTTTTTTTTTTTTTTTTTTTTTTTTTTTTTTTTTTTTTTTTTTTTTCTTTTTTTTTTTTTTTTTTTTTTTTTTTAAAACGATAGAGAGCCCCTTGAAAACCTTCTAAACGAATTTTTTGTTTGTATACCAGACCAAAAGGGGTGTTACATAGAAAATTTACTTTATATATAATTAAATATTTTGTATGTGTTATCTAGTGACGTTAATTCTATCAAAATAAAACCATACACTCCTAGCAAGATTTAATTGTTAATTTGAAACCTTGTTTGTCGAATATTCAGAAGCATTGTCGCAGACGAGGTAAATCGTTAGTATTAGATAGCTTTAATCTGACTACTCTCAAAATTGTAACTGAAAAAAAAAAAAAACTTGTTGGAATTAACTATTAAGTTTGTTAGTGAAGAACTGGGAACCCTGACACAGGTATTTTTTACTTAAATAGGTTCCCAAATCTTACATATAGTAATGCATTTTTATAATGAATAAACACATTTTTTATTCTTTTTAATGTGTTAACAAGAAAGCCAATTAACGATTAAAAGTATACAGAACAAAATGAAGTCTTGTTCTTGAATAGGTACAGTGTTTCAGCTACCCCAACATCGCTTGTTCACACAACTTGAATTGTTTATGAATACTATTCGAACGATGATTTCGTTTACTTTCAAAGACGTTTTATAAATCAGTGGGGCTACAACCTTTTAAGTGTTGGGCCTCAGATTTCTGTATGTTTCATGATTATTTGTCA